GGTCTTCATTTACTAGTTTGTAGTCAAGAGAGAAGGCAGCGATGACAGACAGAGAGGGTCAGAATGCCAGCTGCTGAGTGAATGTGGCTTTAGCCCTGCGTCTATGTGGGCTTACTGATACTTCACCCTTGCAGGGGCAGAGTTAATTTCTCAATCGCCGGCCTCTGTTGAGTCACAGGCCTCCTCCTAGGATGCAGGCAGTGTGGAGGAGAGACCAGAATGCACCTCTGCAGGCAGGCAGGCAGGCAAGCATCTGAACCAGCAAGACTGCAGAGTCCTGCACAGGCATATCGAGTTTGTTCTATAGAATTCACCAGTCAAATGAGATGTGCTTTTTTCTTAGGGAAAAAATTGAGGGGGCTCTGGGAGACTGGAAATGTTCCTCCTATCTTTTCTATGGAATTTCAAGAATGAGAATGAGCAAGTCCCCCGATGCTCTTTACATTAGGGGTGACCATATGTCTTTGCTGGCCCAGAATTAACAAACTTATTCCTGTTATGCTAGCACAATTATTAACAAACTTATTCCTGTTATGCTAGGGTCTCCCTTTATTCTCAGAAGTGAATGATATATAATGTGATCATAATTATATCTTTCATAAGATAAAATAAGAAAAATTGCTTTCAATATTCTAGCAATATTACCAGATTTCTGGGGTGCTAGAGTCTCCTAGGGATGATTTCTGGATCCTTTCTGTCCCAAATAAGAATGGAACAAAACAATTATAAACATTGGTAAGCCTTTATATTTATTAAAGGTAGGAAAAAAGCAGAAGGGTGAGGAAAAAAAAATGGGCTCTGCGGAAGGAGTTTAGGCCAAGTAAAAAGGGAGGAAAAATAAAAATACCATGCCATGATGGAAATCCTATGGCATATGTGTTGTTTTTCTTTGAGACATAAGATGTTCATGTATAAGTTGTTTTTTCTAAACTAAAATCTCATTATTCAGGTTAAACTGCAAGGTTGGAACTTCACAGTATGTAAGTGGGTTTGGGTTTACAGTGTGCGCGCTTGTCCCTAAAAGCTTCGCCGTCTCTGTGGAGTGGGCTGTCATGAGGAAGCACAATGGCGAGCTCGTAATGGCGAGTGTTTCCTTTTCATATGTCCCACGCTGACATTGCACCCAGGTCATGCAGTGAGAAATCCGCTCTAGTTCTGAGAAGTGCACATCCAGGGCTCTGAGAACTGTCCTGCACATATGTTCTAGGGTCTCATCAGCCTCTTTTCTCAGCCAGTTTCAGGGAGGCCCTCACTTATTTTCTCAGCAGTAGTCTGCACTCCTACGGATTCTCTCCCATCCTGCAACTGGGCACACCTTTCTTAAATGGCCTGTGCTTGATCTGGTGGAGAACCCTCGAGTAGAACCTTGAGCCTTTTTGTTTTATCCTCAGGCAACCTTCACCATGTTCTCTGTACACTTTGTCTCCCCCTCAGTTGGTAGACACTAGCCCGTAACAGTCTATTTTCAGGTTAGACTATAAATGACTTCTGGTGATATTCTCCCTCATGCTTTGCAGAGTAGATGCCAAAAAGATATGAACAGTTTAAACGAAGGATTTTATTTTTATTTACTTGCTTTTAAGAATCTTATATTTTAAAATATTGTTTTCTGTTAAACATTAAGATCTCCTAGGAAGATCTTTCAGGTTCTAAAATTTGTCCTTTATTTCCCAGTCTTCTGATATTCAGAACCCAACTGTGTCTTTATACTGTATCTGATGGTTTAATTGATATACATATTTATTTTCCATTCAGATAAAATAATTAGTGTTTTGGTTTAAGTCGTTATCTTAAAAATACAGCATCAGGAATCCATTCTGCTCCCAATCCATCCCATTTCTGTTACCATGAAAGAAAGATTAAATTTTTACTAAAGGCAGCTTATAAGTCTGTTGAATGTTGATGTCATTTCTGTGCTCAGAGAATGATAAAAGAAAATTACCAGCTGAATAGAGCTCCACTATTAGACAGCAATTGTAATTCATACATTTAAATAAGAAAAACCCTATCTGGGGAAGAGAAAAGAAAGGAGGATAAATTCATGGGCGTAGAAACAGCCAGCTGCTTGATATGCCAAAAATAGTTCTGCCTTTTGAATCAGTGTTTTTGGGGAATGTTCAACTTCTAACACAGGAAAAGATGGTTTGTTAGTGTAGGTTTTTCTTATCTCAAATATATAATATTTGATCGTATATCGCTTTTCTCCAGAAGAGCCAAATTCCTAGAAATGGTCTTAGCCTCCTTCTCTCTTTCCTCTCTTAGTCCCCATAGCTGTCATTAAATCGTATTACTTTGCCTTATTTATCTTTATTATCATTCCATCTCACGATTCTTACTACTCCTGCCATAGTTACAGTCTCCATAATTTCTTATCTAGTCTGTTAATATTTTTCTTGTCATCTTCTATTCTCACTCCACACCTTCTGTTTCCTCCCTGTTCCTGATGCTCGTAAGCTTCTTCATATATAAACTTAATCATGTTACATTCCAGCTTACACAGTTCTGTCATCATCAAAATAAAAATCAAATTTCTTAACCTGGCCCTCTTAGACTGCTGTAATCTGGGACTTGGTTATAAGACTCATTTCTCTTTCACTCCAGGCTACCAAATGATTTGTAATTATGAAAATGCCTTTGGGTCTGTCTGGAAAAACATCCCTTTTCCTAAGTTCAGCAACTTCTTTCAAAGGTTTTCCTGATAGGTAGCCCCACCAGACAGCCGGTGTCACTGGTCTTCACTCCAGAAAGTTTATCTTTATCTTGCTGTTTGTCTCATCTTTCTTCCTATCTAGACCATGAACTCTGAGGTAAAGTCCTGTGTTGGTTTCTAACTTTCACTTCTGCAGAGGGAAGAAGAAGAAAGAAAGAGAAGGGAGAAGATGAAGGAATAAAATGAGTAAATTAGTTGGGTCACCAGATACACACGTCGTTTATAAAATTGCTAGGTATTTTAGTCTTGCTTTTACTCCCTGCATTTTAAAAGGGCAAATAACAAACCAGTTATTTATCTGCGTTAAGGTACCCCAGAAAAACACTGCTAATAATACCAGCAGTGAGGTTTAATATTACTAAAAGTAACTCAGGTGATAAATTGCCACATTTGTTTGCTCTCCTATAGAAGAGTTGTACCTAATGTATTGGTTACTGATTGCTTTAAGTATTAACTATAATGCTATATCAGCTTCGCCTTAACTCTGAAATGTATTTATGTTGATCTTTTATCCTTATTAATTATTAGTAAGCCCTCTTTAGTAAATATTACAAATGTTTCTAATGCGAAATGGACTGTTTCAGCTGTCTCTGTGGTTCCTTCTCTCTGCAATCCTCCCTAAAGAAAAAGCATAGATAAAATTGTGGTGTAACTTTCAGTCCATCCTTACTCAGCGCCGTTCCGTTCCCATGCTATTTCAAGAACATTTGTAATAAAATAAATCTCTGTTTTAGAAGATCAGTAATGAAAATATTTGGTAATACTGTTATTGTGCCTTTTTATAGATATAATCCAAGAAATATCTTTATTGTTGTAACAGTTACTTGGTTAAAAAAATACCTATTTAACTGATGGTCATTTGCTTTGTACCTGCAGATAATCAAAGTGAACTGAAGTGTATCTTAGTTTTTTGTTGTTCTTTTCTTTGCATATTTCAGTTTTCTTAGTTCCACTATTTTTGTCTTTTCCACCTCAGATCTTTCCACCAGGTCCTTCAAAAGGGAACCCACAAAAACTAATCAAGCAGCGAAATCACCAACTAATACACACACATACATGCAAAAGCAAGCGTGCTGGGGAAAGGGAATAAGGGTAATTCAGAAGTTTTAAGAGGCTAGTCATCTGTTTTTGTTTATTCTGAATGAAGGGTAATGATTGTATTAGAGTAAAAAAGTTTTGGTAGCTTGACAATTTCATTATAGTGGAATTCTGACTAAAAAGTCAGTGTGTTACAGATAAGGCTCAGTGATGGAAAGTTAGTGAAGTCTTCATGTATTGTAAATCTGTTTGCTGTCCAGCGTATTTCATTTGCATATTTTTCAGCGCAGCAGAAGCATTGTGAAGGAACTGAAAATAAAAGTGTAGAACACCATCATGTACGTCTGTAGGTTTTTAAAAAGTTCGTTCTTACTCAACTCATATATAATTGATAGCACTGCAACTACCCGCTAGAACATTCCTACCAGTTTAGTCCATGTCTGACTAATAAGATGGTTCTTCATAAACCTTAACTTTTCAAGGAATGCAGTCAGAGTGGGAAGGAAAAAAGGATTCTTTCTTGATAGAGTCAGTTTATGTTGGAAAGGCCAGAAATTTTTTCAGCTATCTTAAATTCAACTACCTTAACCTTTTCCCATTACATTTTATTAGTCAGTTTCTTGGAGTCATTTATAATAATGCTATGTAAGCTATTTCTTTATTAGCATTAATACAGATTATATATATACACATTACACAAGGCACTTGTGATCATTAAATTAGTTTTCTTCCAGATGCTGAGGTCAAGCTAAGGTAAAGAAAAATAGATGCTTCCTTGGGTTTTAAACAAATTCAGATTGCCTGCTTAAAATGGTAAAAAAAAAAACCAAGGCTGGGCCTTCCTTTGAGAAGCAGGTCAGAACATAATAAGAGAAATGATTATGTGTAATAGGAAAAAATTTTAACAAGCAGCTGCTTCTTGTTTTGGACTACAGATTAAATGTGCCTCATGTCAGTATTACTAAACTTCTTTAAAATATTTACAGTGATTTTTAATAGTAGTATTCTATATCTTACGATTCAGATAAACACTTTTTAGTTTAATGTCAGCTTTTGCTCTAGGATTCTAATTACTTACTTAGATAAACCTTGCCTATTGAAGAAGCCACTCAGACTTAACTATGTTTGTTCTTTGAAAATGAGATTCGGCTTTCTGACTCCCAAGTATTTGTATAATAAAACAAATTCCCTCGATGAATTCTTTTTTGTTGGTTTTAAATCTGGCGGTTCACTAAATTTTCTTTACTTACAGAGCTTCCTTATGGCTGGGAGAAAATAGAAGACCCACAGTATGGCACGTACTATGTTGAGTAAGTTTCTTGCCTCAGTTACGTTCTCCCAAAGGTTTTCCTTTTAGCATACAGTGTTGGGGGTTACTGGATATGGCACTTTATGCTTCTGTCATCCAGCTTGAGAAGTTTTCACACAGGGAAGGGGGAAGGTACAGGCAACAGACACCTACTTTACTTACTCTGAACTTCCCAAAAGCTGGCCTTGAATTTCTAAATATAGAAAATAGAGGAACCTGGCACTCACCTGTAGTCCCAGCTACATGGGAAGCTGAGGCAGGAGGATTGCTTGAGCCCAGGGTAACATAGCAAGACCCTACCTATCTCAGACAAGGAAGAGAGAAGGTGACTAGGGTACTAATGGCTAGAGATGATATCCTTTCTACTGTAGTTTTTAAGGACAAAGGCAGTAGATGGAAAACTGATATGGGGTGTTGGATGGGTGAACTTTTTTTCTCTTTTGAGGCAGAGTCTCACTATGTATGTAGTTCAGACTGGCCTTCAACTCACTATGTAGCCCAACTGTGTACCCCAGGATAGCCTCAAACTTGTGACTATCCTCCTGCCTCATCCTCCCAAGTGCTGGGATTACAGGTTTGCCCCACCATGCCCAGCTGTTGTATAGGTGAACTCTTGAGGTTACTTCCAGTAACACCAGTGCACATATTCTTCTGAAAATAATTAAAGGACTTTAAAATCATAAAATTTTGAAATATGAGATTATAGCTGTATTCTCAAAGCCAGGTATGGTGACGCACATCTGTAATCTCAGCATTTGGGAGACTGAGCTAGGAGGATTACCACAAATTCAGTGCCAGCCTGGGCTACACCGTGAGTTCAAGACCAGCCTGAACTGCATAGCAGAAACCCTGTCTCACAAAAAAAGGAAGAAAGGAAGGAAGGAAAGGAGGCAGGCAGGCAGGGAGGGAGGGAAGGAGGGAAGAAAGAAGGAAAGAAGGAAAAAAGTTAGTTAAAGGTATGTTCTTTTTTAAAGAGTTAATCAAGGAAAATTTGGTATGGGGAAGGATGAAGTTGCTTCTTATGCAACTATTATGGTTAAATTTCAGTATAAATATATGTCAGAGAGGAGCACCAAACACCTGTTTTGTGTTAGCCAGAGAAACCAGGCCAGCGTCACATCTGATTTTTTTTCTTTGTCCAGTTGCTACATTGTTAACAACCAGTGGAATCGCTTTCTTTCCACATGCTGTAGATCAGGTTTTGACCTCGGTCGGCTAGTACTACACAAATGATTGTATCAATGTATTTAAGGCTTAGGTAGCAAAGGCAAAATGATGTTATTATCTAGAAAAGTAGCGAACATAATAAACTATTCTTATAATTGCTTATTAGTTTTTCATTAGTTGTGTCATAAACCAATGCTATTTCATGGTAATCATCTCTAAAGTAAGCATCTCTAATATGAGTAACTATGGTTAGAGAGATTTTTGGAGTAGCTTCTTAAAATCCAAATGCATATCCTAAGGAAGGAGTTCAGTTAGATTGACCCTTAGGTATATAACTTAATAATTTCCATGTTTTGGTTGCTTTAAAAGGCTATGGTAATTTTATTTCCATTGTGTTATTTAATATGCCGCTGATACTGATGAAATGTGATGTGCAAAGTACGTATGTAGCAGCTCTTTTGTTGGTTTTTCCCTGAGGCACTGTTTTTCAAGTCAGAGGAATAGATGGAGACCAACTGAAAAGTGTCAGTTTTGTGGGACTTTTTCTTCCTCTTTTATTTATCCTATTTTAAATTGGGTTTCAATCAACTATTATTTGCCATTGACACTGCTGAACATTTCTGAGATAATGATTCTCATTATTACCCATTCCAACTAAATTTGAATACATGGTCAAGAGGTGAAAGTCATTTGCCAGTTATAAAATCTTGAGCTGAATCATCTGATTCCCATTAAGCAAAGATATAATACTGCAGCAACTTGCGGACAAATCCTGGAGGGACCTGCTCCCAGTTGTAATGGATGTGCTTGAAATGGCCTGAATTAGAAGCAAGAACAGCAGCAGCACTGTGATTTTGTATGGCTGTTCCCAGAACAAGCTCATTTACAGGGGATAATTTATTAGATTAAGGAAGAGCAGACTGTACTCAACGTGCACATTAGCATGGAGTCAGCTGAGCTGTGGAGTGTGGCTTGATTCCCAGATTAGCTAGGTTTTGAATTTCAACTGTAGTAATCTGCAGTGAGTTTACTGATGGAGATAAAAGCTGTTACTTGAATGGCTACTCCTTGGCGCTCTTAGTTTGTCAGACCAGATGGCACAATGATTGCTTTTGGCAAGAGCTTTGCAGTAGTAACACCAACTGCAATGGCAGGTTTTCTTTGTGAATATTTATTTTAGAGGCTGAGATTCTGAAATGGATTGGTTAATTTTGAAAATGAAACTGTTCGGTTTTAACTGCTTAACCCTCAGGTAGGCCTTTTATAAAAATAGTTGTGTATTTAGAAATGTTATCTTGATGATACTTCATTAAAGGTCTCGATATGCTTAGGCGACGAAGTTAAAATATATATCTAGTTTAATACCTCAGATTCTTCATGAATTTGGTGAGATAAATTTTTAGAATCTAGATATTAAACACAAAATTGAAATACAAGTGACATTCTGAATTATATATTTAAGTATGCTTTCTGCACCTGACTGACGACCTCTACCCTCTCAGCTTGTGTCCTTGTTTAGCTTTTTTGATAACCTGTTACTATTGTCCTCTCTTATTTATGGAGATACTATCTTATGGAGTATCTCTCACTCCAGGGCTAGTTATATATAGTAAACAGTGTTTTACAGCTTAACAATATGAGAATATAAGTAATGAAATGAAAAGGAGAGTACTTTCCCTAGTTTATTTGTTTTACTTTGGAGAGTGACATTTTAATCTAGTCAAGGGTAGCAGATGTAATGACTTCCTTCACTAAATCATATTGTTTTGTCAAAGAATTTTCAGGAATAGGATTATTTATTTCCCTACTTCTACTGTCTTCTCCCACACATTACAAAGGATACAAACACAAATTACTACTTTTTATGTTCTCATGCCTGGGTGGCAGAGTGAGTCATGCTAGCTGATGACATTAAGGGAGCCAGGGTTCTTTCTAAGCAGGTTTCTTCTTTTCTGAGTGTCAGTTTTTAGTTGTTGTTATTTTCCTTGAGAATACATAAAGTGTCAGTGCCTATTTAAGTGGTACTTAACATTTTTATTTTCACAGAGGGTTAAGCAGTTAAAACTCAATGGAGAAGGTGCCCTTTCTAAAAGAATGTCAGGTGGACCTTGCCATATTTGAAGCTAGCCACATTTGTTGTGAAGTTAATATGCAGTAGAAACCTACATGACAGAGAAAGCTAACATTCCTAGCTATAAGGGTGTTTTTGTCCTTGTTGCCCTTTTCTCCACCATTACCACTAAATGACAAAGTCAATATTCAATTTGAGTGACTGCTTACCTGTAGGTTTTGTAATATTCAGCTTATTTAAAGACAGTCATATCCTGAAAGTCTCTGGATTTGTTGCTTAATTCTTGGTGTTGACTAATGCCATTTCTTGTGGAAGTAGATTTTACTGGGAAACATTACTTGTCTGAAATATATTTGTACTGTGGAAGTGCTAGAATATGATTCCCATTGCTTCTGCACTTGACCTAGTCACGGTTTTAAACTTAAAAAAAAAAAAGCAACAACAGTTGTGTTTTTAACCAGCTAACTGGTTTGCCAGAATAGCAATGCTATATTCCCTGTGTAAAATACACAGTTGCCCTTTGGTGCACCTGGCTGACCACATAAACCCTCTCATCTCCCTACAATCGTCTGCTTTGGCTCCTCAGAATTCTGTGGTTTCCAGGAATCAGTTGTGAGTGTTCCCAATCCTAAATGCCAGTTAAGCCCTTATGCTTATTAGTAATTTAATTATTATATATTTGTGAAGAAATTAAATGTAAAAGAAAGAGTTGTTCTGTAACACAATATAATTAACAGAGGTCACTGGGATGGAGGGAGTGTGTGGAGCCGATGCAGTCCAGGGCTTTATAGGGAAACACTGTGCCACTGAGCTATATCTCCAGTCCCAAGAAAGTCACTTTCTTAATTTCTGCTGAATTGATGTGGGCAAGGCAGTGGAAAAATAATATTCTAGAAGAGTTCCATACTCCGATTTCTTCAAAAGTATCTGTATAGCTTGCTTCATTTTAGAGAAATTTAAAACCCTTCTAACATTAACTGCCATTAAAAAAAAATGCCAAGTAATTACCGACACTTGTGATTGCATCAAATAAGAGAATTTCTATAATTTTGAAAACTGTTGCCTGCCATACATAGTAGGTTTATGAAAAGCTATATTAAGTATGATATCATAAGTTTCAGCAACTCTGACTTCTAGACATCTGTGGGCCTCCTGCTATTTCTTGTCAGTTTCTTTGTGTCCCATAGTCTAAGGATACATATTGATCCCTCACCATGTGATGGGAGTCTATGTAAAAATATGTAACTCTTTTATCTGAATCTAAAGTGCATATTTTCTACATTTTACAGTCACCTTAACCAGAAAACTCAGTTTGAAAATCCAGTGGAGGAAGCCAAAAGGAAAAAGCAGTTAGGACAGTCTGAAATTGGGTCTTCAAAACCAGGTAGAACTTTTTGTTTGATCTTTTTTCTTCTAAGAGTATTGTGAAATTTGTATATTGAATTAATGAAAGTAAGTTTGAACTTTTTACTGCTGGGACTTGGAAATTCAACAGAGAATGTCTAATTTTTGCCACTGTAAAGATATGAATAATCCTAATATCACATGTGAACGTTGTGAGATTACTGAGATTTTTCCCATGATAGTATAAAAATTTGAAATTATTGGAAGAAAAATTGGAAGCTTTTTAAAACTGAATTTGAAGTTGGTTTTGAAAATTGAGTTGTCTCTTTATATTTTAAGGTCAGTCCCTATATTAAATCTCTAGTTCATTATGGTGTCTCCTAAGTTAATTGCTTAAGTCTATGCGTAAGTGGAGAGTCAATCCATTCAGGATTCTACATTAACCAGAATTAGAAATAAATAAATGCACCACATTATTTGCCTACATCCTGAGTGTCAAGTAGGATGGTAGGTATTACCAATATCAGAATCATTTGGGAAATATTTTTTAAATACATGAAGTTTTGATGAGCCTAATCATATATATATAGAAAATGCTGCCCAGGAAGTTCTTATACTTCACTCTCATCCCTCCCTTCTTCCATCTGTCACTAATAACAAGGGATCTGTTTGCTCATATTGCAGTAATCCTGTAGACCTCCCACTTTGTTGCTCATGAGAAAAAATGTTTTTTTGTATGACTACTTTCCTAAAATATAGATCCCTTTCTTAAATTCTGCAAACAATTTGAGCTTAGCAAATATTTTTGAGTACTTACTATATTCCCAGTGCTTTACTAGTCACTGCATATTCAAAGTGATTGAGATTGACAAGTTTTGCCCTCAAAAAGATCACAGTCTAATCTGGGAAGTTGCTGGTTATAATATGTGATAACTGGGCCATTCTAGTACAGTGGGTACATGTGCAAATCTCATCTATTTTAGTTTCCTAAAATCTTTTTGCCTCTATTTTCTCATCTATAAAATAGGAATAATAACAGTACCTACCTCTTGAGGTAGTTATGAGGACTGTGTAAATTAATACATATAAAGTACTTCCAATTGTATCTGACATGTGGTAACTGATAAATGATAACTTTCATTATTATTAGTAGAGCTGTAGTCATCCTTATCTGCTGGAGATACATTTAAAATCCTCAGTGAATGCCTGAAATCATTAATAGTACCAAAATTTCTCCTTTCTCACTGCAACAAAATCCCTGTGAAAAATTAACATAAAGGAGTAAAGCCTAATTGTGGCTCATAGTTTCAGAGGCTTTAGAGATTTCAGTGGGGCCCACAGCCACACCATCTGAATGCGCCCAAGCTCGTCTGATCTCAGAGGCTAAGCAGGGTCAGGCCTGGTTAGTACTTGGATGGGAGATTTCAGTGGATAGTCACATGCCCCATCATTTTGGCCAGTGGTGTGGCAGAACAGCATGGCTGGGAGCATGAGGTAAGCCAGAGCTGTTCCTCACAGTGGCCAGGAATCAAAAAGGAGGACGGGGTCAGTCTCCCCCGTACCCCTTCAAGAGCACACCCCAAGGCTGTGCTTCCTCAGGTAGGCTTACCTCCCGATAGCACCATCCCCTGGAGACCAGATCTTCCCCACCTGAGCTTTGGGAGGGACATTTATATAAGATCCAAACAGTAACAACACCTATGATAAACTTTCACTTCTTCACTTAAAGGAAGCACTTCATGGCTTCTCTTTGGCATCTCTACTTTTGTACTTTCGGGCCATTATTAAGTGAAACAAACATTACCTGAATACCAGCACCATGGTAGCAAAAGAGTTGATCTGATGACCAGACAGCTAGCAGATGACTAGACTAAAACAGCAGTACTATGTACAGCATCGGTAAGTTGGACAAAAGGGTGATTCACGTCCCAAATAGAATGGAGCAGGATGGCACAAGATTTTAACACACTACTCAATACAGCGTGGTATTTCAAGCTAATGAGTTGTGCGTTCCTAGAATTTTCCATTCAAGATTCATTTAAGCTTTTAAATTCCTGTAAACTGTGTTTTATGGATAACTTCAGTTTCACCAAAAGGCTGATACATTTCAGTATTTTGAAAACATCAGTATTAATTTTGAGTTGGCCAAGGAAACCTAACCAACTACTGTTATGTGTGGTACTAAGACATATACCTTTCAATAAAATTATTGAAATGCAAAACAAAGTTTGGACTGCAGTTGACTGCAGTTGATGGAATGACAAAGTTAAGCCAGGCACACGGGTGGGGGAGGTGGGGGACAACTGTAATGGACTGAGGGGTGAGAGAAAGTAAAAACAAAGCAATGAGGAGAGAAGGAGGTGCTTCTCCCTTTCAAAGGACACGAAAGGATGCTATGGAGAAGCGATTCATTAGCTAAGTACTTTTCAGTAATTTAGTTTATGAACTTAAATTCTAACTGTTCTGCATCATCAGACTCTTTCTGGTTTTCTTCCCTTTTAGGGTTTCTTTTGCTTGAGGGTATACAGGTTGGCTTTGTGGGCTGTATTCCTTGTAATTATTTTTGTTCTTAAACCCACTCTTATTTTGGCTCAGATGTGGAAAAATCACACTTTACTCGAGATCCATCCCAACTTAAAGGTGTCCTTGTTCGAGCCTCACTGAAAAAAAGCACAATGGGGTTTGGTTTTACTATTATTGGTGGAGATAGGCCCGACGAGTTCCTGCAGGTGAAAAACGTGCTGAAAGATGGCCCTGCAGCTCAGGATGGGAAAATCGCTCCAGGTAACAAGTGTTTCAGAATTACTAGAGAGTAGTGGTCCTGTAACAAAGATCATAGGAGAGATGCTTTATGTGTGCATGTGTAAAGAGAATAAATTATAACTGCAGAGTCTCTGTATTAAAACAGTTTATCCTTAAAATTAAGTGTATGCTTGCATGAGAAAGGGCCGTTTTTATAATGAAGCAGAAACTATTAGAGAAAACATACTAAATTTATTCATTTTTTAATACTTTATATAATTTTTAGATAATCCCTTGGATGTACAAAACTAAAAATGTATTAACCATCTCAGAAGACCACTTGTCTAATACTCTTTGGTTAGGTGGGGTTCTTTTGGAGCTATCTAATCTTTGGTTATAATCTTTTTTTGAAAAATAGCCCATTATGATATTTATACTGATAACCAATTGTTGTCGTGCCTATAGTTTTTTCCTAAGATTTTTTTGTTTCCTTAGTCTTACTGATTGTAAGTAAAATTTAATGCCTGTGTTAAAAGTATAGGCATAAACATTACTGTTTTTACAAAGTTGTATGAACAGTATATGTGTATATATATATAGTTATATATATATATATATATATATATATACACACACACACACACTCTTCAATATAGTTTACCCAAAATCTTGACTCAGTAATTATTGGATATTTTCATGGCTGACAGTGTTTGTGGGAGCTCAGGGGAGGTTCTGCCCTTCCCTTCCCTCCCCTCCCCTCTGCTCCCCTCCCCTCCCCTCAAAACATTGGATCCTCCTGCCTCAGTCTTCAGAGGAGCAAGGATTATAGGGTTGTCATGATACTTTGTGACACAGATAGTGTTATGTTCAATTAATATATGGATCTCTCGTCTTGCACTTTTCCAATGAGTTGGTAGAAACTTATAACAAGGAAACTTAAAAGTAATCAATAGTTATATTTATAGTATAAATAAAAATTTTTACTATTACTTTATAAAATTAACAATCCCTACAGATTAAAAGAGTCAAACATGCCCATGTTTGTAGCAGCACAATTTGTAATAGCTAAATCTTGGAAACAATCCAGATGTCCATCAACTGAAGAATGGATAAAAAAAGATGTGGGTTTTTTTAATATAATAGAGTACTACTCAGCCATAAAAAGGACAAAATAGAGTCTTTTATAGATAAATGGATACAACTCAAGAACATACTCACAAGTGAAATAAATGAGACCCATAGTGTAAACATTGTATTGTCTCATTAGTATGAAAAAACAAACAAGTAAATAAGATCTGAAATGTACGATAGATATTGTGAACTGGGAAGAAACTGTTCAAAAGAAAAGACAGACTGTGTTGGGGAAAGGGGAAAGGAAGAAAGGAAAAAAAGATATACAAGATAGTTACGATTGCTACACAGCTGGTTTCTCTTAGTTTATTAAAAAGAAAGTTTTCTGCTAATATTGTATAGACAAGATATCATGCCTATCTCTTCTACTCTGAATAACTGCTAGGAAGACAACAACACACAGTATATCAACTATTGTGGCTGTCCTAGTAGCCTGTTTTGAAACTCATTTTCAGTGTTTATCTTTTTTGAAAAGGAAGAAACAGCTAGGATAGGGGAAAGGAGAAAAGAAGTAGGGGAAATATATATATACACACACACATACTAGATGTGTGTATGTGTGTATATATACACACACACAAGACAGCTGGGGTAATTGTGCCACTGATTTCTATATCTATTGGTTTGTTGAAAGGAACAGTTAATGCTTAATTGTTTGATGGATCTTGCATGCCTATGTTGAGTGATCTGAGCAACTACTTTGAAGATAACAATATATATTATAACCACTATTGTAAATTTCCTATCGCCTTGTTTTGAATTCTGTATCATTTTGTTTTCTGTTGTTTTGTTTTTGCCTTTGTGCTTGTCTTTTCTCTTCTTTTTAAAATTAAAAAGAAAAGAGTCAGACATGGAGTGCACATCTGTAATCATAGCATTCTGAGAGGCTGAGGCAGGAAGATTGCTAATTTGAGCCCAGCATGGGCAACTTAGTGACTTAACAAGACCTTGTCCCAAAATAAAAGTAAGGTCTGGCGATGTTGATCATTGTGAAGGTCTTGGATTCAATACAAACAAACAAATACGATTTTTTTTAAATTCTCAGTTCTGACCTTTTTTACATTTTGTCCATGAAACAAATCTCACAGCTATTACATATATACTGTCAGGATTTCACATTATATTTAGATTTGCCTAAAACTATTATCTAATATGCATATCAGTTCAGTGAAAATTTGGGAGCTTTATCAGGGGAGGAAAAGTCAAAAACTTTGCTTCTAGGCGGTCTAGTTTCTACATCTTGGATTGTGAAACAAATTTCCACAGGCTAACTTTTGTTTTTAACACCATTCATACTGACTTTTTTTAAAAGCAAGCCTTCATGCAATCAGAAACAAAACATCTTTATTTGTCAATAATTTTTTAAATAATCATATTCAAAGGAAAGCCATAAATGTATGAGATAACAGAAGACAAATTTTTAAATTCAGTGGTATGCTAAAAAGCCAGTTGATAAATTTGGTGGTAGTAATTCTGCAACCCAACTGCTCATAATACTTCAGAATCAAGAAAGCAAAACCAAATTTTGTAAGGATTAATTTAGCTTACATTCTTTAAGTAATAAATCCATTTTCTTAAATAATAAATTCTGTTGAATTTTTTGTTGATGGTTTCACTTTTTAAAATCTGATTTGTAATGAATTCAAAATCTCTAAGCTGGGCATGGTGATGCATGCCTATAATTCCAGCACTGAGGAGGCTGAGGCAGGAGGATTGACTCAAGTTTGAGGCCAGCCTGGGCTGTAAAGTGAGTTCAAGGCCAACCTGAATTACATAGTGAAACCCTGTCTCAAAAAGACCCCCCCACAAAAAACCAAAACAAAACAAAAAAACCCTCTATAAAATAAGGATGATAAAAGAAAATATATCATAAGGCAACGTTTTTATCTTCAGTTCTACATTTCTTAAACTAGGATGAATTTTTAAGTACATTGCAATCAGTGGCTTCTTAAAATCAAGCAAGTGGTATTTAAGGAGAGCCTTTTAAGTAGCCAGTGAAGTTATTCGCTCCTCTTCTGTATACTAAATATCTACTAAAATGTGCCGAGCTTTGTTTGGCTGCTTAGATGTGACTCAGAATCTGATTAAAAAAATTTTCAGATTTTTTAAATTATTCACTTAAACCTGAGGTTAAAACTTTTTACATCTAAGATAGTTAAAATTTTAGACATTCGTATATATGTTTTAGAGAAATCCTAAGATAGAATGTGTTGGAAATCTTATCTTTCCAGTAGTTAATGATTAGTAAGAGACTTCTAGAATTCAAATTTAGTTGCTAAATGTGGTTTTGCCTTTCTCTCAGCAAAAAAATCAGCTGATTTAGTAGTTTTAATATTTTTAACATGGTTATGTTTTATCAGGTGATGTTATTGTAGACATCAATGGCAACTGTGTCCTTGGTCACACGCATGCAGATGTTGTTCAGATGTTTCAGTTAGTACCTGTAAACCAGTATGTAAACCTCACGTTATGTCGTGGCTATCCACTTCCTGATGACAGTGAAGATCCTGTTGTGGATATTGTTGCTGCTACCCCTGTCATCAATGGACAGTCCTTAACTAAGGGAGAGACTTGCATGACCACTCAGGACTGTAAGCCAGGAGGACTGGTTCTGGAGCAGAATGGAAAAGCAGGACACACCTCTATGAGTGATCACCTCAATGGTCCATCTGATCCAAGCGAGCATAGAGCATCCCTGGCATCGTCAGGCAGCTCCCAGCCCGAACTCGTGACTATCCCTTTGGTTAAGGGCCCTAAAGGCTTTGGCTTTGCAATTGCTGACAGCCCTACTGGACAAAAGGTGAAAATGATATTGGATAGCCAGTGGTGCCAAGGCCTTCAGAAAGGGGATATAATTAAGGAAGTTTACCATCAAAACGTGCAGAATTTAACACATCTCCAAGTGGTAGAAGTGCTGAAGCAGTTTCCAGTGGGTGCGGATGTACCGCTGCTTATCTTAAGAGGAGGTGAGTAACAGCACAACCAGGAAACGTCTTCACGTTCAGGCATTTATGTTTGCTAATTGTCCTTCACTATAGGTCAGAATGTTTTTTCCCAGCAGATTTCACTGGCAGTTAGCGTGCATTTTCCTAAAGTTTCTGTCTGATTGCTTCATGAGAAGTATCTGTGTCAGCACGTTTTAGTTCTCAGTGGTTTCATTTGTGTTCATTATGGATTTCTTTCTCCACTGTATTCTTTTCAAAATCTGATTTACAGCTTTAATGATTAGGGAGAGTCACGGCATTGTGCTACTTCAAATGAAATATATCCTCTTAATTTCATTTTCTCTGTTGATGACAATAATAGAAATTGACCAGTGGTGCTTCATCTGGACCTCTGTAATGTATCAGAAGAGCTTTTGAAAAAGCTGCCGTCTCTGTGGATAAGTGAAGCTTTGGATGGTGTGTTAGCCTGTTCTGCAGAGGCACTCGTGATGGCTTATGCTCATAAAGATTTTATCCTAAGCTCTAGAATCTGCCCAGAAGTGTTAATTAAATCTCACAGTGCTTATGTGAGAGAAATGAAATTTTTGTTTTTCAAAGTCATCAGCTGATATGAACCACTCCCACATACTGTAAATTCATTTCCAAGGACTCTGAAGCTCCATGGTAATAGCCTTCTCAAATCCATGCTGATGAATGACTAGTATTTTAAAGAATGAAATGGAGTCCTTCACTCTTTTATCACTGTGGCTTTTACTTTTCATTTTTGAGGCAGATGAGCTCTCTAATTTGATTGGCAAGTTTTTCATTATTCTCATTTCTTTAAACTGTTTTGGCTTATTCTCTGGGTGATAGGGTAGAATGTGCTTGGTCAGGTAAAAATGGCTTGTATACTCCAGAGTTACCAGGGCTTCAGCGAGTATAACAAATGGACCAGGGTTTGTTGTCTGACGGTTTGATATCAGTTTTGTGCCTTGGTTATGTGATGTAGAGAAGCTGTCAGTTAACCTGTCTATTAAATGGTGATAGCATTTATGCCTGGGGATTGTTGTAAAAATGAAATGCGATATAATATATGTACTGTATAATATCTGGCACACAGGTTTAGATAAATAATTTACTAGCTCAGTAAAAGTTGAAGCTAGTTTTAGCATGAGCAGTAGCAGTATTTATGATCTGAAAATGCTTACTGTGTTTTAAAATTTGGCTCATTTTTTTTAAGGTCCTCCTTCACCGACTAAAACTGGCAAACTGGTGAGTATTACAGTGGTCCTCGGATGCTTCTTCCCCACACACGAGGAGGTGCTGCATCGAGTCCGTAGAGCAGCCTGCCATGTGGTGGTGCTGATGCTGGGAGGAGCTGGAGGCAAGCTGCCCTCCAGTGGGCCAGAGCCTCGGGGGAGCAGTAGAAAAGCCCCTTGTTTGGGGTGTGCTTGCAGAGTTAAGTCTTGCTGCTGAAAGTAGTAGAATCCCAAACTGCCACTAATCATGTCCTCTAAATAGTAAAATCTGACACGTTGAAGAACTCACTTAGGGTTCTTTTACTTTGTGTTTAGAGAAACATGGTGATAAGTAACTGAACGTTCTCAGAGAGTAAACTATTGCATCTCCTTGCTAGTACCCAAAGTCACGATATGGTAGCTGCGAGTAACTTCCTGGGGATTATAAATGCCTGCATTTAGATGACCTTCTTATATGTAGAACTAAGCAGAATTTTCTAAAATAATTGTGGCTTTCTGAGCTAAATTTGCTCATATCAAAGTGATATACTGTCAGACCTTTGACAGTGCCCCCTTTGGCTCCTTCTGAACAACTAAGTAGCCTATTTAAGATTTTTGTAAAGAAAAAGAACTTTAAAATGAGAGTACCAAATAGTGCTCTTGTGGAAGAAGCTGTAGGTTCACATTCCTGACTAAATAGCTATAATTACGTGAATATGAATATACAATTATATTTTAAAATCCTAATTTTCCTTAAAGTCGTTCATCTCAAAATTGATAGCTTCCCATAAGCACAAACCATACACTATTAAAGGGAGGACTGCCCAGCTTGAATGCATTAATCCCTTCCAGCCCATCGAGTAGGAACCCTCTGCAAAGTCGCTGCTGTTTGGAAGGAAGAAACACTCAACCTCAGCCCTTTTCCAGACTGTTTGTACCATTAGGTCAGCTGTGGACAGAAATTGCTTTTGTGCATTTAGTTCAAATTGCTCTGCACTTTTCTACTTTTCTGTGCTTCCCCGAGCAGTCATTGTTATCTTTGTACCACCGTGTTTAGTTCATAATAGACGCTCTGGCAGCTGCAGTGACCCTGCTGCTTCATGTTGGACAGAAGGCTCTGGTGACCTCAAAGTGCTCTGACAGAATCCTAGGACATGCAGGAAGGGGAGAGGGCTGCCCTTACTTTTCCTGCCATTTGCCTGAGTCTGGGTGGGTGAGGGGGTTCTGCGACACAACGCTTTATAGGAGCTGCCCCCACTTTAGAGGGGCTGACTCCTGGCCCCCAGGCGTTGGTGCCCTTGTGATCTAGTCAGTATTAATTGTTGCAGGTGTCTATAATCTTCTTGTTCTAACAAAAATGCAGAATAAGCTGACCTCAAAATCATTTTAGGTGAATTATTAGATTTCATTTTTTAATTTATTATTAAAGAAACCATTTTGCTTCAGTATTCTTTTGGGAACGTTCAATCTGTGTAGGAAAGGTATCCAAATATGCTAGTCTGCTTCCTTTCTCAGAATGGTTGTCTGGCGAGGGGTATTTTCCCTCCATGTATTTGGAATGACCAAGCAGGGTTTTAGTGTCATCTTTATAAACTAAATTAGAGTTAACACTCCCTCTCCTATTTCCCTAAAAAGAATGTATTGTCTTATACATTTTCATTGGGTATTAAATTCAGTGAGCTGGAAAGGAGTATCAAAATTTTGTGGAAGTATTTTCTGAGTCTTCTTGTTTTACTTAGAAATGCCATTGTATCATATTCCTCTTTATGGTATCTCAAAGTCAATTTGTATCTTGGTGGTAGGGTAAAGGATGAGATTGCTTAAAGATAGGACTAAGTGAGGCCCTTCAGTTGACACCGTTATAAACTTCGTTCTAATTCAAGTTAAATACTATGATTTAAACAGACACACAAGCCTAGGAAAGCGAGTTCCTGCCAGACTACCAACCGGCTGTGGTTGTGACCCTGCCATCTGTTCAGCTGTACTCGGCCAACACATCTAGTTCAGGCAACAGTTTATGAATTAATCAACCATCTTATTTTTAAAAAGTACTAAAGGCCCTTTTCCATTTCAGAAAACAGACAAAAAGGAAAATTCAGGAAGTTTGGAGACTGTAAATGAGCCCATCCCCCAGCCTATGCCTTTTCCACCCAGCATTATCAGGTCAGGATCCCCGAAATTGGATCCTTCTGAGGTCTACCTGAAATCTAAGACTTTATATGAAGATAAACGTAAGTAGTTGTAGAATGTTTTAGGAGAGCATGTAATTAGATAAATTTAGGCTTCTTCTTAAACTGGTGTCTTCCCATCTTTCAAAACCATACTGAGAATTTATTCCTTCATTCCCATTTCAGTATATATGACTGGGCTTCTACCATGTGTATGCAGTGTTCACACATCCATTTTTTTCAAAACTGTGTAGTAAGCGCCAGCTGTCTCCAAGATAGCCTATTAGGTAATTGGAATACAGAGATAAATTGGTTATATAGGCCTTGCATCCAGAAATATTATTCAATCTAAATGGAAAAAGCTAATGTATAATCAAATAAGTGTACAGATAAATACACGTAAACCTTCTGCTGTGGTGATGAAGTGGATAAATTAGGACCCCAAGCAGTCTTGTTAGCCTTGTCAGTGTGAATAGCAGGAAGTGTCAGGTAAAGTGTCATACAGGAAGTAAAGTTTGAGCCAAACCCTCAAGAAGGAAGAGGTGTCTGAGGCAGACAAAGGCAGAGGACAGAAGGGACACATTTGCACATTGGTCCTGCTGTGGCTGGCATCTGCATGTAGCTCAGTTTGAGCTTGGGAAGGGAAGGGGGCAAGGAGAGTAGAAACACCTGTGGAGGGCTGGACGGCTGGAGTTGGTCACATAGTGATAGGGAGCCATGGAATTGTTTTAACTGTAGGGAAAAGATTACTGGGCTTGTGTTTTAGAAAGGTTTCTGTGGGGACTGGGGATTTAGCTCAGTGGCACAGCGCCTGCCTGGCGAGCGCAAGGTCATGAGTTCGATTACCGGTACCAGAAATAAACAAACAAACAAAAAAAAAGAAAAAGAAAGGTTTCCATGGCAGGGTAAGGATAGATCGCAGAGGGATACACAAAGTGGAGGGGAAGCCAGAGCTCTCTTCTTCCTTGGAGAAGTCCAGCTGAGAAGAGGAAAGGGAACTCACAAGGCAGAAATCCATTTTTCTACTTATTTATCTACTAAAGGTAAATCTTTATCAATGTAAAGTTGCAAATTTAAATAGGTCTAGTTTAAAAAATTTTTGTTAGAGGATAAATCTGTATCTACTTTGGAAAAGACATACAAAACATAATATTTAATTGACCTTACACTTATTTAAGTAGTTGCAGATCTTTATCTTGCTATCTGGAGGCTATATTTAGAAAAATGAAAACCAACTGTAAGCATAGCAAAGCAATAATTTAAGTTATTGTAACTAGGTACAGTCCCTTTCTTAGACTTCCCATTCATAGCTTGATAAATTCTTAATACTGATATAAACTCTGCAGTTCTATTGGGCCTCACTCATAAAACAAGTTTGACTCAGACTCCTCTAATTTCTAAGCTTCTGTGATCCACCCCCACCCCACCCCAACTGCTGGGGATTGAACCCAGAGCATGGTGCATGCTAAACATGGGCTCTCCACTGAGCCCGTAAAGTTCTATGATTCTAGTAGGAAATGTTCATCAAAAGAGATTTCACTTTCTTTCTTTGTTTCTTTTTTTTGAGATAGGGTGTCACTGTGCAGTCCGAGTGGACTCAAACTCTGCTACCTCGATCTTCTGAATGCTGGGATGGCAGGCCTGTGCCACCATACCTGCCTGTCATTCTGTATATAGTTACTTGACAGTTTCTCTCTTTTTCTTTTCTACCTGTATATAATACTAACATTTTCTTAGAGATCAGATCTTAGTCATAAAATAGATTTTCCTGACTTAATTCTCTGATGAATATAGCCTGCTGGAAATCAAACTGGATTTAAATCTCAACTGCACCGTTTACTATGTGACATTAAGCAAGTTACTTAAGCCCATAGTTTTTCTACCTGGAAGTTAGGGCCAATAAGAAGTGTTAGCCCTTAGTTGGTTTTCCTTTAAAATACTACTAGAGCTGGGCATGGTAGCACATGCCTGCAGTCCCAGCACTCCAGAGGCTCAGGCAGGAGGATAACAAGTTCCAGAGTAGCATGGGCTCATGAAAAGTTCAAGGCGAACCTACACAGCATAACAAGATCCTGATCCCACCTCCTTAAAAAAAAAAAAAGAAAAAATATACTGTATATATGCACACGTGTGTATATGTAAGTATATATACATATATGGGTGTACATATATTGTTTTGTAAAATTAGGCTAAGTAAGTAGTTCATATGAAATGCTTTTTTCATATATTAGCTTAAGAGTGGAAATAAAAGCAGGGCACAGTGGTGCACACCTGTAATCCCAGCTACTTGGGAGGCTGAGGCAGGAGGATCACAAATTCAAGGTCAGCTTGGGCAATTTAGCAATACTTGTCACAAAATCAAAAGGCCTGGAAATGTAGTTGAACACTCCCTGGAATCAATCTCTAGCACTGAAAAGTAAAGGGAGAATAAAAATAAGGTATTTTTTTTCCTAGGATTTGAAGTACTATATCTTACTCAAATATTAACTTAGATCATTTTTATCTCTCAAATATCAAATTCATTGGATAATTGTAGATTTAATGTAAAATCAATTGGCCAGCTTTAGAGGTTAGTGGCAGTGTAATACTGAGACCATGGAAGTATTCCTAAACGATATCGATACAGTTTACCTATATAAAAACATTTATAGTTGAATTTATAGTGTGTTATGTTCTTGTATAAATTTTCACATATCAAAAAGTTCTAAGATTATAGTTTATTGAATTGCTCTTTTTTTAGTATTCTACTAAATGTTGAAATTTGTTTTATTTTTACCTTTTTAAAATAAATCAAAACATTTACATTTTCTGGTTTTCCTTAGCACCAAACACCAAAGACCTTGACGTATTTCTTCGGAAACAGGAATCAGGATTTGGCTTCAGGGTTCTAGGAGGAGATGGACCTGACCAATCTGTAAGTACAAGTACTTCTGCTGTTCATGTTAAAATTCACGAATGGTGATATTTTGGTTTTGTTTCCTGAGTTTTGTATTTAAGTGTTTTTTTTTTTTCTTAACAGTTTTTATTAATATGAGGTAGAACCACATTTCTGTGAGTGTCGTAGTCCCTTATTAACATGGTATGCCTTGGCTAAAATATGTATGTAAAAATCGAACCTGTCAGCTATAAGTCGGACAGTGATTATTTACTTCTCCACATAAAGAAAGAAAGCTGTTTAGGGCTGGAGGGTGTAGTTCAGTGGTAGAGCACTTGCCTGGCACAGATGAGGCCTTGAGATCAATCCCTAGAAAAAACCTGTTTTAATTTTTAATTTTCCTTTGCCTTTGTTAAACAGACTCTAAGATGTTTTTCTTCTCTAAGAAACCTGTGACCCAGTGCCCTGTTCCCGTAATCACTCTCTCTTCTGAATGCTCCTAGGCCGTTGCCGTGAGCCAGGGGTATTATTTCACCTGGTCTTATTAATGACTTGATATATTCATGCTTTCCTTTGCTTGTGCTTTCTTTGTTATTTATTTATTTATTGGTACTAGGAATCGAACTCAGGACCTTGTGCTTGTCAGGCAGGTGTTGTGCCACTGAGCTATATCCCCGGCCCCTTTGTCTGTCATTTCATGTGTTAGCTATAAAACTAAAGGAATATAAAATAATTAATATTTCTAACCAGAAGGTGTAAAGGTTACATTTGCAAAGCTTTTTCTCTGTTTGTATTTTGTTTGGTTATTTTGTTGGGAAGTTTTTGGTGTTTTGAGATGGGGTCTTGCTATGCAGGCCAAAATGGCCTTGAATTATCTTTGAAGCCCAGGCTGGCCTTGGGCTTCCTTTTTTTTTTTTTTCCTGGTACTGGGAATCGAACTCTCGACCTCACACTTGCCAGGCAGGCGCTGTGCCACTGAGCTAAATCCCCAGCCCATTTTGTTTGTTTGTTTTTTGTTTTTTTTTTGTTTTTTTTATAATACTGCTATTTGTTTTTTGTTTTTGTTTTTCTTCCAGTACCAGGAATCGAACTCACGACCTTGTGCTTGCCAGGCAGGTGCTTTGCCCCTGAGCTAAATCCCCAGCCCTCCTTGGGCTTCTTGTCTGGGAAGAAGAGTGCTGGGATTACAGGTGTGCACCACCACACCCAGCTACCAATCATTTAAAGCCTGGAATTTTGTTTATGTACAATTCCTATAGAAAGATAGAGAACAAATAAACTCTAATAGGTTTTGTTTTTAAGTTTTATCCTTGCTGAATGACAAGTAATGTGCTTTGTAGAATTTAAGAATACACTTATATTTTCTTCTGTATAGTATGAAAAAAAACTGCATTATTATTCTTGAGAGTTAGGTGAATAACAGTAAGCTTTAAAATGACAGCTCTCAGGGGCTGTGGCTCACACCTGTAATCTACAGAGGCAGGAAATTATAAATTTATGTCAGGTGCGGCGGCTCACCCCTGTAATCGCAGCACTCAAAGGCTGAGGCAGGAGGATTACCACAAGTTCAAGGCCAACCTGGGCTACATAATGAGTTCAAAGCCAGCCTGAACTACATAGCAAGACTCTGTGTCCAAAAAAAAAAAAAAATTTAAAGCCAAATTTGGCAATTTTGAAAGACCATGTCTCAAAACAGAAAAAGGGCTGGAATGTAGCTCAGAGTACAGCATTGGCTAGAATGCTACAGGCCTTGGGTTCAACCTCTAGTACCACAAAAAGGAAAAAAAAGTGACAGGTTTCTTTCTGTTTTTGAACAGATTGTTTGATTTATATGGTACAGATGTGTTCTAGTCCTATCGGTTGCAATTGCAATGAGCATTAAGGACACGTGAAGCTTAGGCAGACGGCCCTGTATAGGGCAAATGTAAGATACTTTGTGACTGTATATATATTTTCTTTCCTCCTTTGTTGATATTTGTAGTGTTCATTTAGACATTTTAAGAATTTATTTTAACTTGGGAGCAGCCTTTCTCTTTTAAATGTCAGATTTTAGTAGTTTTGAAAGCAGCCTACATACCAGGATTGCCTGATTATGGGCTTTTAATTGCTAGTAAGCAGAAAGAACCAAATCTGTTCTACTAGATGCAAGTGAACTGCAGGCCACCCTGTTCCCTTGAGATTTGGGAACACCAACTGTTTATTGTGTATACTAAACTTGTACTGCTAGCACATTGGATGGTAAAATCATAAAAATGATCCCAGTTGCTGTGAACTATGTGTAGAAAATCTTTCCTGAGGCCATTGAACAATTTTTTTTTTTAAACTTTTAGTAGCTACACAGAATTACATTTTCTGAGTTTGTTTTGCTGTAGTGTAGCGATGGAGATCATGGTGGTACTTTTAAATTATTGTACTTTCTTCTTGGTACTCAACCCTGAGGATCTAGAAGAATTACATAATGCAGTATGGTTATCCAGAGTGCCATGTTTGAGCATGGGCACTTCCTAAGGTATCACCTTTCTGAAGTGTGCCAGTTTTCATAGATGAACCTCAGAAATCTGTTGATCTGCACAGTGGTGAATCAGGAAGCTTTTTACTCTTCAGCTGATCTTAGTAGACTATACAGACCAGTCTTCACATGTTTATCTTACCAGATCTACATCGGGGCCATTATCCCCCTGGGAGCAGCTGAGAAGGATGGTCGGCTGCGTGCAGCTGATGAACTGATGTGCATCGATGGAATTCCTGTTAAGGGGAAATCACACAAACAAGTCTTGGACCTGATGACCACTGCTGCTCGAAATGGCCACGTGTTACTAACTGTCAGAAGGAAGATCTTCTATGGAGGTAGAGACAGTCCCCTTTCTATGTGGTTTCACAGGGTATTTTATTGTTTATTAGTGTTTCAGATTACCCATTTGGCATAACCTAGGGCCCTCTTGCTGAAGGCCACAAAAGGTCAAAGGGATGCAGAAATAATATTACTATCAAAAATAAGTAAATATTGGGCTCTATATTAAGGTTATATTATTATATTGATAAAATCTTACCAATATGGTATTTTGAGAGTATAAGTTTAAATCTTTTTTTTTTTTTTTTAAACAAATGCAGCTAGGCTGGTATAGCTCAGTAATAGTATTCTTGCCTATCATGCATGCCAAGCCCTGGGTTCTATCCCCAGCACTAGAAAAAAACAAAAAATATAGATGCATGTATAGTTACTAAGCCATACCAAGCTATCCCACTAGCTAAATATCAAAATATTTTGAATCCTGACGAAATCCCAGATATTCAAAAAAGTGGAATGCTTCTACTTGAAAAGTTTCAGTATAACATTTATTGAGTACTCACTATGTCTCAGATGTGTGGATTATTAATGCCTCAAAACACTGTGCTGGGGGCTGGGGACATAGCTCAGAGGCATAAGCGCCTGCCTGGCAAGCACAAGATCCTGAGTTCGACTCCTGGTACCAAAGGGGAAAAAAAAACCACTGTGCTGTAAATATTGTCCCAATCTAGTTCTACAGCGCCTTGCAGAAGGGTTGGGAGACATAGTCAGTAAGTAGTAGGAACAGGATTGAAATTTACAGTTTAATTGCAGAGCCCTGGCTCTAAACCACAATAGGATATGATCATCTCGTAGTTTTCTTATCAGTAGCTTTGTTGATGTTAACTAGGATTTTTTTTTTTTTTTGGTTTTTCTCTTGTACCGGGAACCGAACTCACGACCTTGCGCTTGCCAGGCAGGCGCTTTTGCCGCTGAGCTAAATCCCCAGCTCCTTAACTAGGATTTTTATGTGAATTTTTCCCACTTTAAAAATGCTAACTCAGACATGAGGGCTGTCTGGCTGCGGACCCACTGCTCTGGCTGGCTAGGCGGCTGTCCCCTTCCTCCCTCAGCACTCCACAGGCGTCACTAGGACCATTTCCCAGTCAAGGGTATAGGAGTAGCTGCGCTTCCCTGCTAGAACCTCCAGACAAGCGCTCACAAATGATCACTCGCTAACACAAGAACGCACTGTTGCCCCAGCTTAGTTGTGCCGGAGTCAGAGCATAACTGCATTCAGTACAAACGTGAAAGACAGGGACCGGAAAAAGCACCATGAAATTCCATACTTTAGTATTGTTGGAGACATTTTAGCTATTTCATTCTAACCTTGCATTGTGCAAAATAAATCTTTTACTTTTCAGTAATGATTAAATCGTAGTGGCATCTGAAACGTATTCTTATGATCATATAAATTTTGGGGAAAAAGAGTGTTTTTATACAGCTGCTGTGTGTTGGGATCGTTAATGATGTCTGACCACATTATCACACAAGATTAGCCTTTTTAAAAAGTCGATTAGATCTCAGTATCATTCTTAAATTGTGATGTCCTCCTTGAACAGCTACAAAAGGTGTAGGTTAACCGCCCGCTTGCCCGGATTGCGTATGACCTGCTCTGCCCAGGAGACCCTGCCGTGCGTGCGTATGGCTTGTCATGTGTCCCAGCCAGTGGGAGAGGCAAGGCTGAAACAGCTAACGATGAACCTCCCCGGTCTCCTCAGTCAGGGAGCTTTAATTGCAAAACACATCGCAGAGGACAAATCCCGTGCAGGTGGCAGACTGTTCGAATCTCCTCACTTCCCAGGCATCAAGAAACAGCAGTCACTGGACTAAATTACATTTACAGTTCATCTAGAAAGGAAGTTTACTCAGTATCTATTTTTCTCATTATCTGTTTTTCTTAGATTATTGACAAGGTTATAAACCATGACAGAACTAAAACTATTTCAGGAATGATTTTTTAATATCAAATTTTAAAGTGAGAGAACATAGGTCACGCGTGACTTTCCAGTTGTACCCTTAGGTACTATATTTAGAAGCCAGGTGGACTGCTGCTGCCTGCATCTGCACTCATTATACCCAAAGAGCTCACGGGGGTGGGGGGTGCTTTTCTATTCTGTGTGTTATTAGAAAAGAAACTTTCCTTGAGAGCCTAGCACAAAAAACTTACAGTTTTCAAAAAATATCAAAACTGATCGTGTTTATCCCAGAAAAACAACCTGAGGAGGACAGCTCTCAAGCCTTCATTTCAACACAGAATGGATCCCCCCGCCTGAGCCGAGCAGAGGTGCCCACCAGGCCCGCTCCCCAGGAGGCCTACGATGTTGTCTTGCAACGGAAAGAAAATGAAGGATTTGGTTTTGTCATCCTCACTTCCAAAAGCAAACCACCTCCAGGAGGTAAGGGCCGCTGTATCCTGTGATCTCTCCCTGCCAGGCCCATGTGTTTGGGCTTCCCAGTGATGCTTAGGAAATTAAAGACTTAGCTTTTAAAGAATAGTGAATATTTTCCTTTTTTTCAGTTAGGTAGTCTGAATCATACCTTCCAAGCTGCAGGTTTATCTGTCACCTCAGATTCTATGAAATATGTCTCGGTAACTCAGTTTGCATCCAGATTATACTGAGACAGCATGATGGATTTAGTGAAAAATATAACGCTGAATTTTTTTAAGTTTTGGGATACAGACTTTTTAAATTAGGAGAAATTGTGGACGTAGAAATAAATAATAGAAGTAACTGAGAAGAAGCAAAACAGATTGCCAGAAAACATAAATATATCTTAAATAATTCTTTCATGTTATTAAAAAAACAATTGCTATATTCCACCTATAAAGTACCCTTGTTTTATTGAAAAGTAAAATTTTGTCACAGCCTTTACAACTTAATGCAAATATCCTGAGCCCTTTAGCAGAGTATCCGCCTCTGGGAAGGATGAAGGTATACGTACATTCATCAGTTTCGTCACTGAAGGAGGAAGTAGCATCCAGTAAGTTCAGGGTCATTATATAATTCAGCAGATTCAATGTTGGCTTTTTTTTTTTTTTTTTGAGACAGGGTCCTGCTCCTTGCTCCGTAGTTCAGGTGGATCTTGAATTCACTATATAGCCCAGGCTGGCCTCGAACTCACAGTGATCTTCTTGCCTCAGCCTCCTAAGTGCTGGGATTACAGTCTCACACCATCACACATGGCTCTGTGTCGATTTTGATGTTGCTGAGAAATGCTCTTTAAATATAATTATAAAATCAGTTGAATATAGGATGAAAACAGAACATTGCTATTTACGGACATGCTTGTTTGATAACTTTATTTTTAGATATCAAATGTTAAAAATCTTTTACCACAGTGAAATATTCTGTAGCTTTTGCCATTGGATTTGAATTTATCTTGGGTACTTAGATCCTTTTAAACTGATGGTTACTAAAACCTTAGTAAGAAAAGAAAACATTTTCAGGAAAGTGTTGTGAAGCAAACCAATTTACAGAAATCTTGCTAAAATTAATGCAAAGTGTAAAGGAAGAAATTCTGTCACATGGGTGAGTTATTGCTATAGTATCAGGTCACTGCTCACTGATACTAGTTTCCATTTTCCAAAAGCAGTTGCTATGGTAACACTTGGAACTGGAACTGTCACTGATTCTGTGAGGATGATTACGTGGCCTGTGTCAGAGAAATGAAAGGAAAGCAGCTTGTAGGTGGTTTCACGTTGTATTGCAGGAAATCATCTTTCCAGAAACAACCATGTAGAATAATCATATGTCATTCTAATATCAGACAATAATCCCCGGCATTCACATTAACAAAAGGAATACTCCTGGGTTCAATTATCCTGTGTGTGATAGGTGAGAATCACGTTTTATATTGAAGATATTCCCTCTCTAGCACTGCAAAGATTAGGGGCAAAGAGTCTAACATTCACCATAACACTAAGCAATATAGAGGAATTCAGTGAAATGTTGTACTACTTAAATATGTTTAAACATTTTCATACTTGTTTGTATTTAAAATCTGAAAATATTCTTTTGTTCATTTAAATAGCTTTTCACTGTTTTGACAGTTGTCTGTGTACCGATGTTCAGTCTCTGAATAACGCAGTGTCATTAAGCTAGGCATGGTGGTGTATACCTGTAATCCCAGCACTCTGAGAGGCTGAGGCAGGAAGATTGTAAGTTCTGACCCAGCCTGGGTGACTTAGTGAGACTGTTTCTAACAGGTAGGTAGATGGATGGATGAATGGATAGGGCTGGGGATGTAGGTCAGTGCAAAGGCCCTGGGTTCAATTTCCAGTTATCATGCCTATACGAAAAGATCATGTCACTAAGTATCGGGTTTTATAATCAGACAAACTTGGAGCTGAGTGCTGTGTGTGTCTTTGGATGGCAGTCTGGTCTTGGGCCAAGTTCCTTCCACTGCAAGAGCGCAGTCTTCTCTGTGCAGTATGGAAGAAGGTAATATGGCTGTGCTCATGGAGTGCCGCGTTCAGGCGAGCAAACCCTGTTAGAGAGACGAGTGAAGACGTGAGAGACAGAGAACATCTTTGTCAAGGAGCCAGGGCACTGCACAGGAAGGGCGGAAGCCCCGTACTGACTGAAACCCTGGTGTATTGAAGAACGGCAAAGGGATACTGTTCTGCTGAGCACAGACATTTGTGTTAGGTAGCAGGCAGGCAGGCAGGCTTGGTGACATTTTAGCCAAATTTTTAACCTTTATCCTATTGTCCCATAGGGAGCCCCCTTGCTTTCCCCATAGGGTCCGTCTCTGCTGCAGCTGGCAAAGCATCCTGTCTTCAAGACGTTTTGGCTCCTCAGAATTAGCAGTCTTCCTCCCTAGTCAGCCCGAGCAGGCACTGACCCCTTGGGTGCCGCAAGGACCTCCACAGTGGAGTGTGAGGCTTACAGGAGATAATCCCTGAAGCCTGTAGCCAGGCCTTCAGTACCCATTAGCTGCTGCCATCGTGATTGTCGTCTTTATTTAGAGAATGGCTCCTCGCTCTTGACCAGTGTTTGTGCTTTGTTTGTTTTGGTTTTGTTTTGACATAACATAACATGACACCTCCCCCAAACTAGAGGCTGACCTCAAATTTATGGGCTTATAAGATCCTCCTGCCTCAGCCTCAAAAAGCTGGAAATACAGGCACACACCAACATGCCTGACAGCCATCTTTTTTAAAGAAACTTTAAAGTTTATTAATACTTGATAATGAGACGGGAAAGAAAACCCAGTTAACATGTAAAATTGAAACAGCACCTAAAGTGTGGCAGAAAAACGAATGTTTGCAGCTCATTAATTATCAGCTTCAATGGTAAATTAGGCTCATCTTGTTATTAAATTTTATATAAAGTACTTGAGATTCTCTAGCATGGGGAAAAGCAGAACTGGCAGCTTTGCTGAAATGCTGTTTAATAATCTCACGAAACGCTGAGTCCTCAAGTATTCCTCCTAGAGCGCTATTTGTCCGTTCAGCCAGGGGCGTCCTGCAGTCAGGGAGAGGAACGGCTTCTGCCCCCAGAGCTGAGCCGTTGCTGCCACCTCTGTCAGCAAAGATGGCGCGGCACAACGCAGTGGGAAGGCAGGAAGCCTGTCACGGCGCGTCCTTCCTTCTGGGCCTTGTCGCAGAGCTCCGCTTGGAATACATTACTTCTTCCTCTTCTAAGTACCGTGTTTCCTGGTGATGTATGTGTCAGAAACAGTTCCTAGTGTCTCTGGCACCAGTTCTCAAATTCTGAGGTTCTGCACTGGTGTTGCGGTCCGGACCCGCACCCTCACCGTGGGCCTCGGCGCCGAATGAGCACGGCACTTAACAAGGCCGCTCTGAAGGTGAAAAGGACGCGCTGGTTTTCGCATTGCTAGTGCCTCCGAGCTTTTAGTGTCACTCTCATCATACGGTTTCCAGTTCTGGTTGCAGAGATTTCTTTGAGAAGGGAATATCTCCAGCTACTGTCCTTTCATGTCGTGAAAGGAAATGTTGGCGAGCATAAGGTGATCTCAGCGGTGGAGCAAGCCTGGCTGTGGCCATTGGAGGCCAGAGACGAATGAAAACGCGGAAGGTGGCTTATGGCGAGTGACAAGGCAGGGCCTCAGGCTGTCCCGTAGCTGCGAGCACTCAGAGGAGGCCTTGAAAAACTTCCAGGTCCTCTAGACGGTCCTGTACCTAGAAGGCCGTTACTTTTCAGCTGGTCTGTTGTAAGTCTGAGCTGCCCGGGTGGTACTGCCGTGCGCAGTGCCGAGAGAGGAACAGCGTGGCTGCCTTCACTGGCCTCACCGGACAGCTGGCGCTTTAGGGAGTTGTGCCCGCCACTTTCCAGTGGCGAGGGGGGGCGGCAGAGGCTGCAGGTGTTAACCCTGCTTGGTGCTTTCCACGCCTAAGCAGACCCGTCGGTGTGCCAGGCGGCTGCTCTGGGGATCTCGGTGTGTGTAAATCTTTTTGAAGGAGGAGAATATCTACAGCCATGACTTAGGGAGACTGGAGGGAAAGTGTGGTACTCACCACCGTGGGGCACTGCTCTGCCACACAGAAGAATGAACGAGTCACGGGTAGGAAAATGGATGTCCCTTGAGAACATAACGTTAAGTGGAATAAATCAGACACACAAGCTTAAAAAACACAATTTCTCTTATATGAGAAACCAAAAATATAAAAAAGGACAAAATAAAAGATACTAGGGGATAGGGAGATCGATCTTTTGCAGAAGGGGAGGGGATGAATGACGGGTTATGTGTTACGTACATAGTAGTAAAAAAAAAATTAAAAATCACCTCAGGGCCACTGTGAGAGTCATCCCATGTTTCTGAAATGCCACCTGCTGTGCTGTCAGGAAGTCAGCTCAGAACGCCTGGCCCAGGACGTGGCCCGTGTTGCGTTGGGATTTTTATTCACTCTATTTGCAAGGAAAATGGAGTCCTAAGTACTTAGTATAATTCAGAGCTAAAAGGTTCTTGTTTCCAACATTAGCTTTCTCTATTTTAAGGTTAAAATTTCCACTGTATAATCCTAGAAGAGCCAGCATCTTCTCTGTAGGGACATAAATCTTGACCAAGAATAACTTTGCTTGGTCTATTAAATAAAGGTCTATTAAAATGTGCCTAACTTAATCCCAGGTCTGATTCAGAAATACTAGTAGAGTGTCTTACTAAGGACATTAAATGCAATTCACAGTGCCATCTAAAAATATTAATTACCCCTATTCATATCAATCAGCAGTCAGCAAGAGCCCAAGTGCCTGGTGAGTTTACTGACCTAGGCTAGAAAACTCTCAGGGAACATAGAAGAACATGTGTTTCCTAAAACACATGTCCTTATCACACAACGCAAGGTACTTCATTTAACAAAATTTCCCAAGTGTCCAAGAACTCATTTCAGCGGAGTAACAGCACGGTCACTTACCAGTTACGCAGGAGAGCCCTCAGCAGTGAGAGCCGGGGCCGGGCCAGCTGTGCGCTCTCTCCAAGTATGTGGGACTCAGCTCTGTGCATTCAGGGGAGAATTTTATCCATGAGCCAGGAAGTCTTACCATTAAATACTTAATGTTCTGATTCTGCTCAGCTTTTGAATTCTGAAAAGATTAAAAGGCACAAATAAAAGGGATTAATTTCCATGTAGAACTAAGTAGGATTCATTTTAATGGTCAGTCTTTTATTTCATTGTACCTGGATTTCCGACCAGTAATCATTGAATCCTAAACTTGGGTTTGCCCTACATTTATTTAAAAGGTTCCTTTTGGGAGTGAGTGTCCTCCCTGGGGACTAAAGCGAGGCCCTCACACATGCTAGACAAGTGCTCTCCCACTGAGCTATACCCACAGCCATTCTTTTATTTTTTTGAGACAAGATTGGTCTCAAACTTGTGATCCTCCTGCCTCATCCTCCTAGGTAGCTGGGATTACAGATGTGTGTCAGCACTCTTAAGGGCCTTTTCAACAGAGCTGGAGAGGGTCTCCTAAGAATTCGTAAGTACTGAACACTTGATATACACTGATGGCCTACAGTAAACAGTGAGGTGCCAGATCAGAGAGATCATCAGTGTCAGTGGGGGCAGTGGCTCTTACCCAGAAAAACTTAGGACGATGATGGAAAATTGGAAAGGGCAGTGCATGGAGGCCTTAGGGGGAGTAGCCAAATGACGGGAGGAGGCAGAGCCTGACGAAGGGGGCCACACTCAGACTTCGTGGCAGCGCCCGTGGGGCGGCCAGTGGGTGCCTGGCCAGCAGTGGAGAGTCCTGAGCCAGGACACAGAGGAAGAGGCCCAAGAGGCCTGTGCGGTGCGTGGCCAGTTTGGTGGCTAAAAAAAGATAAAGACCTTTTCTGGGCCTGGCTGAGGGTCACAGTGGTGCTGAGCCCTTTGAGAGTGTGCCACGCCTGGGGTGGCTGCAGGCGTCCCCACCCTGGGGCCCACGCGGCGTCTCCAGGGTCTCCAGCTGAGGAGGGACTGCAATGTGAGTGACGTCCTGCTCAGCTGCAGTGTCTCCAGGGTCTTGGGAAGTTCCGTTCTCGTGCTCACCTGGCTTCTTCCGCTGCCAGCTCCGTGCAGCACTGCAGCTTTCCTGAGTGGGTTCCCGGCCCCCTTCCCCGCCCCCGCTCACCTCTACTTAGTCTGATGCTCTCTGACTCTTTTTTTTTTTTAACAGAATAGTCACTGGCCTGGTAAAGGTTTTAAAATATAGTCACTGACCTTCAAGGAAAAGAAACTGGAGCCAGAGTTTCTGATAAGTAGAAATCAGCAAAAAGATTTATATTTACACCTACAGCTATGTGAAGAGTACCTGTGCAGGCTGGGCGTGGTGGCATCTGCCTGCAGTCCTGGGTACTGTGGAGGCTGAGGCAGGAGGAGTGCAAGTTCAAAGCCAGTGTTGGCAACCTAGTAAGACTATCTCAAAATAAAAAGAGCTGGGGATGTGGCAGAGCACTTGCCTGGCATGCTCTAAGCTCTGGGTTCGATCCCCAGTACCACCCACGAAAGGATCTGTACGTGCAGCCATAGTTGGAGGTGATTTGAAAACAGTTGCCTCTAGATAGGATGATGCTTTTTGCTCTATTTGTCAGGATATTTCTTTGATGTTATTATGTTGAACTTTTAAACCATGGTGATGATAAATCCAAAGCTAGTAGATGTATTGAATAACTGAAAAACTTGGCATTCTTTCCCACAGTTATTCCTCATAAAATCGGCCGAGTCATAGAAGGAAGCCCAGCTGATCGGTGTGGAAAACTGAAGGTTGGAGACCACATCTCGGCAGTGAACGGACAGTCCATTATTGAACTGTCCCACGACAGCATCGTTCAGCTGATCAAAGACGCAGGTGTCACTGTCACGCTGACAGTCGTTGCTGAAGAAGGTAAGGAAGCGGTAGACTCATCTTCCCCAAGCTGATCTGAGAGGCGCAGAACTGCAGTGATGGAAACGTTTATATACCCCGGAGTCTCACTCTTTGCCTTTTCCATTTAATGAACTTAAAAGGCCGTGTATTATAAAGTTGTCAGCCACTCAAGACAAAGAATGCAGCTGGTGAGCGGTGGCCATTTACTTCTGTGCCAGAGAAGCAGGCACCCAGGAGTGAAAGATTGGTAACACTTTTCAGATCTTATTTTCTTAAAATAATGTCTTAAGTCTCTGCTTGAGTTAAAATCCTTTAAGCAGTTCAGAGGAGTCACTGTTGCTACCAAGTCTTTTATGTCCGGCCATGCCCCGGCGCGCCTGTTCTGGGGCACGGCTTTGTTCCGGGCAGCTGCTTTCTAAAAGGGGGTTGGGACGAGCGTGCAGGAAGGCTCAGAAATGGGGCATAAAGCTCACACTGGCCGTTCTGCAGTGATGTCTTGCCTTAGAGCTGCCTTTTTAATCATTAAAAATTTCTAATTAGGAACCATTTTGAACCAGCCCGTGTTCTTTGTTCATGAATTCCTGGGTAATCACTAAGCAGTGCTCATCTCATTTCCCCTGATTCTGCAAAACTAATGAGGAGAAGACAAAAACAGAACTACGAGAGGCTGTCTGTTCGTGCTAAAGCTCTCATATTCCGTTTTCCCCCATGACTATTTCAGTCAGTGTCCAGGTCTTCTGTCCTTCTCACGTCTGCCTTTCTTTCTGTTCCACTCGCACATTTTACTCCGGACATACCATATCAATGTTTCTTCTCAAGATCCTGTGCTGGGTGCTTCTGCGTGAGTGTGAGTTCCCGCGGCTGCTCCCCGAGGTCCTGGGCCGACCTGGGTAGGCCGGGGATGGGGACATCCCTACTCCCTGCCCTGGTGTGTTCCCACACCGCCTTACACGCTGCTGGTTCCTTTCTGAAGTTTTCCTCCACAGACACCCCAGTGCCTGCCCTGCTCTCCGCATGGGGTGCGCTTTATGATTCACTCCCAGTCTGCATTTGAAATTTACTTGCCCAAGTTCTCTCAGCTGTCTGTGCCTTGTGGGCCTCCAAGCACTCAGACACATCCTTCTGAAAGGTAACCCTCCCCCCTTAACGTCTTCTTTTTGCAGACAAAGAAATTGCTAGTGGTTGGCTATCATGCTTAGTAGATGCTCAGTAAATATTTTTGAGTGACGGAATCTGAATTCCAGTAAATAAATGAACAAAATGAATGAACAAAGTAAAAGTCAGGAGGTTTTAGTTCTGAGCCCTCTGTGTCATCACCTGAATAGAGGCAACAGGAGCTTTGTAGAATACAGACAGAATTCACTGATACCTGCTATGTAGCTACTTGAATGACCTTAAACAAGTCACTTAACATTTTTAATTTTTTTTTATCTGTAGAGTGTAACTGGTAATCTATTTCAGGATCATTGCAGAGATTAAAGGTGAACATGTATGTCAGCTACACAGGTACTGTAAGGTGCTCATCCAGTGATAGCTGTCATTGTTTGCCCTGCATGCCTGCCTCACTCATTCAGGACTGTGCTTAATTCTCAACACGTAAAAAAATATTAGTATCTAGTACACACTAGTATGTGAGAAACACTGTCCTAAGCACTTCACACATACTAACTCGTTTACTACAGTAGTACTAGGAACTAGGAAGGCAGTGTCATTTTCTCATTGCTGTAGATGAGGAAACCAGTACAGACCAGTTAGATAACTTGCGTGTGGTCCACAAAACTCGAAACAGAAGCAGTGTTTAAACCAGGCAGCCTGGCTCCAGATTTCTCCCTGGCACTAGGGGAAAAGCTCTTCTGAGGCAAGCGCACTTTGAGCTGCAATCCCAGCCCAGAACCTGCACTTCTAGCTGCTGAGCCTCCTCAAGAGCAGTGTCCGAGACGCGTCCCCTGCCTGCTGCTGACTCCTCTTCCCCTCCCCGACTTTGCTTCCCTTCACTGTGCTTGGTTCTGAGACGGTTGTTACTGTGTCTGTCCCACGAAAACGTGAAGTCGTAAGATTTACGAAGTTAGTTTTTTATGTTCACTGCTCAGCCTCAAGGGTCCAAATCAATGTTAGGCACATAACAAATGCACAAGAAAATGCTTTTAAGTGGAAAACTCTTTGCATGTTACTTAAATGTGAACCTGGTCTAATTTCTTTATCTCAGCAACTTTACCATGGGCTGTGTAACCTGCATTTTAGCCTTAGCATTTGTTCTGTGGCTCATAGGAAAAAGCAAGCCCTGTGCCATAGAAATAACATTTCAAGATTATAGGAGTGATACGCATAGTACAATGACACGCGCACACGAGGCGTGCAGCGGACGTGGCTGAAGGGGCTCAAAACGGGGACCCGCAGTAGTAAGATCAGTCCGGTCATCTCCGGAAAGAACCAGTGTTTCTTCCCCAGTCCATCTCGGATGAGTAATTTTTGAAATACAATAAAAATTAAATGAAAAATAAAAACAAAGACATGAAATTATTCTGTCAAATTGTTCTAAGATTTTTTTAAATTCTTACTTGCAATATCCTTACTTATTGGTGACTAACCCTAAACCACACTTTGAGTAATCCTGGGATAGATAGTTTAGTAGAAAAATGACCAGCTCTTTCTCTTAGTGTAATCTTTTTTAAAAAAATACCATTGATTGTTGGTGATTTTTTTTTCTCAGAAGTTATCCAGAATTGCTCATTTTTTTCCATTCTACTTAAAGTAAAAATTACCTTGGACATTCTGGTCCAAATACTTCTGGACAGATACTTGAGGTTTCCTGCATGGTGTTAGTCACTGCTCAGAAGAAACAGGAGGATGGGGAAACTCTTCAGAGAGTATACGAAATTGTGTTTCGTCTGCAGGCGCAGCCTCCACACACAGACACGGTATTTTATTGTCCTTGGTTTTTATTGAACTGTGGAAACATTCAGAATCCCTCATTTTCTCCAGGATAAATAGAAAGTTTCCCTTCTGTCCACAAAAGAGATTTCATTCATGGAGTTCGTAAGTCTTCCAAATTCCTCTAGAGCTCAGCATAAACTTATCTGTACTACAGTCCGGTGAAGATGTGTAGCTCTAAGGCTGTCTCAGAAATCACACATTCAGATCACTGCTCGGGCCGCTCGGCTTCCCGCCTCAGCCCGGCCCTGCGCGGCCCCTGCCCGGGCGCACGGAGAAAGGCGTCTGCACGGGTGAAGAACTGCTGCGCTTCACGCTGTCCTTTGCTCCTGCCTTCACCAGACAGTGTTTAGTATCAGTGCCTGCTTTGCCAAGGAAATGGCACAGGCGTGTGCCACCTCGTCACCCGCTCTCAGACTGCAGCCCGACTTGGGGCCATCCCCGCCCGCGGCCTCCCCCCCTTCACTGCGAGGGCTCGTTCCCAAGTCTGCGTGGAAATCGGCTGTGTCTGTAGTTTTTGCTCAATGGGAAGAAACTTCTATTCTGTATTATGCTTTCAGATTGATTTCTATTTCCTTGTCAAGCTTTGTGTGATGTATTTTGGAGCGTGAACATAAGTTACCAAAGCCTACCAAGGACTGGACTGGAATGATTCTAGTGGCATTGGCGTAATTCTGTCTGCTTTCCCTGTGGTTACCTCTGCTTCCCACCTGTCTCCATGTTGCACTCTCGTTCCTTCAGGTGCTCAGCGGCAGCCATTCTAGTACATTGTATGTGCATTTTCGTGTGTCTTTTAAAATGCATTTTTTGTTGTGTTACCGTTTATTTTTGAGTTATATAAATGGTACTGTGTTACAGATTTGTACGCCGGGTTCTTCCTCAGAAATGTGGTTTTTGTGTTTCTTTTGCCGTTTGCAGTGCTAGGGATCAAACCCAGGCCTTTGCTTATGCTGGGCAAGTGGTGTGGTCTATCGCTGAACGGCATCCCCGGCCTTTTAAAATAAATTGGGATATAATTCTCATGTACTATAACACTTGTTACTCTAATGTGTGCAATTCAATGTTTTTTGTATACTTACAAGGTTGTGCAGCCATCATCCGTAATTTCACATTTTAGTGCCCCCGAAAACCCGTGCCTATCAGACGTCACTCCCCATTCTTCTGCCACGACCCCATCCCTAGGCAACCACCAGTCTTTTTGTTTCTGGACGTGCTGGGCATTTCATAGAAATAGAATCATGTGGCCTTTTGTGCTGGCTTTTCTCACTTGGCAAAATGTTTTTCAGGTTCATCCTTGTTACAAACACTGTATAGCGCTTATAACATCATTCTTTTCATCACTAACAAGCTTCCTTTATGTACAGGAACCTTTTGCTTACCTGTTCATCACTTGATAGGCAGATGGGTTGTTTCTGCCTTTTTGCTGTGTGAATGATGCTGCTGTGAACCTGGTGTGCACATTTCTGTGCTAATGTGTGTTTTCATCTTTGTTGTGTACCTGAGAGTATAATTGTTGGATCATGTGGCAACTAACCATTTTTTTTTTTTTTTGGTTTTTTGGTACTGGGAATCGAACTCAGGACCTTGTGCTTGCCAAGCAAGGTGCTGTGCCGCTGAGCTAGACCCCAGCCCAGCAACTAACCTTCTGAGGAGCCGCCGAACTGTTTCCCCCAGCAGCAGCAGCACCACCCCCACCACATTTTATTCTCGCCGTGATACGCGAGGCTTTCCGCCTCTCCCTGCTCGCCATTGCTTGTCTTAGGGCTCTGGGCTCTGGTTTTCTGTCTAGCCCTTCCAGGGGGTGTGAAGTGGGGTCTCACTTTGGCTCTGATTTACATCTCTGTGGTGCATGTGCTTGCTGACCATCTGTATCTTCGTGAGAGAAATGTCTGCTTAAATCTTTTGCCCATTATAACTCAGTTTTTATTGTTGGACTGTAAGACTTCTTTATATATTCTAAATACTAGATCTTTCTCAGATAAATGGTTCACAAGTGTTTCTCCCCATTCTTCAGATGTCTTTTCACTTTGTTATCACTGGTCTTTGAGCACAAAAATTTTAATGTTGATGAAATCCAATTCACTTATTTTTTTTCTCTGATTTCCGTGCTTTGCTGTGATAGGAGCATGTGCTTCAAAGATTTACTCATGTCGCTGGGTGAACTGCCGGTGATCGCAGACGGTCACTTTGAACCGCTGACGGCTTCCAGAATGTGTGCTCACCACATGCTACCTGCCCACTTCCCGACGGAGAGCCACAGTAGCTCCATCCGCGGAGTGTCTCAGGGTATCACACGCAGATATCACACATTCCTCACGTGTTCTTATAAAGCAGTGTGAAGGCTTCTCGGGGGTAGAACTGCTAGATCAAAGCACATTCCTGTGAGTCATTTGCCTCAGTACTGTGAGATTAGTCTCTCTAATTGCCACATCCACCATACCTCCCCCAGGAAAACACTGGGGGTTTCTTCCTGTACCACTGTGTTCCAGTCAGTACCTGACTTTACCAGCTTTTGAGTTTATTAAAGCATGAGAAGTATTATCTCACTGTCATTTAATTTGCGTGTCTCAAGTTATCCATGAATTTGAATATCTCTTCATATGCTCGGGGGGTTTTCTCTAGTGAATTGTCTGCCTGTTCATACCTTTTGCTTGGTTTTCTTTTGGGATTTCTATCATTTTCTTATTGGTATTTAGGGATTCTTTGTGAATTGTGTAGGCATTCGTTCAGTTTTTTTGTTGTTGTTTTTTGCAGGGCTAGGGATTGAACCCAGGGCATGCTGGGTTTGTGCATGCCAGGCAGTTGCTCTACCACTGAACTACATCCCCCAGCCCCTGAATTTTATTTTAAAACGTACAAATGTCTTTTTCTTGTACCATGCTAACTTTGACCATGGTACCCATGTTATACTGAATCTTTTAATTTATATGTAGTCAAATTTTTATTTTATGGCTTGAGTTTTTGAGTTTTAAAGTAAGTCAACCTTTCACCCTATATCACAGATTTCCCCTTACATTGTCTTCTGTTAGATTTATTATATTACATTGAGATCTTTAGTGTATTTGGAGCCTACTTCTGTATATGGTTTAGAAAGGATTCAGTTTTTTTTCATTCCTATCGTGAGCCACTTTCCTACATCAACTACTAGTGCTTCCTCCCCTCACTGACTGTGGTGCCATCTGTCCTTACAGTAACTTACTCTGTGAGTGTTTAAGATGGATAGATACAGAGATTTATATGCGTGATTTATCACATAACACAAAATTATTGTTTATCAGTAAACTTGTAGTCTATCATAATATTTCCATATAAAATTTTAGAGCAAATTGTTACGCTCCTCCAAAAAAATCCAATTTTATTGGGCTATACCGATAAATATATACACTTTAAGACTGTATTTTAAAATACTGAAGTCATCTCGCTTAACAGGATGGAATGTCTCTGCAGTTTTTTTAGATCATTTTTTTATGCCTTAATAGAGTCTTACAGTTTAGAAAGTTCTCTTATGGGGTTCTTATTTACTCTTGACAAAACAAATCTCAACCCATTATGTTTGCTAGTATAGTTCAACTGTGGATTTTGCATTTATCTTCTGATAATATACTTAGATATTTATGCACAAAAATGTATCAAAAAATGTCATACTTGTTGAAGGAGGGAGAGATATACTTAACCTACTCCTTTACTATTTGGAAAACTTTCAGGTAAAATACAAAGAGAACATAGGCCAGTTTGACATCATGGAATAAATAGTTTAACTTTAAGAAGCAGATTAGCTTCTCACACAGAAATAAATTGGAAAAGGTCCATAGCATTGGCTGAAGGATTAAAGATGAGCAGAATGCCAAGTATATGTTTTTTCAACCTTGATGAAGACAACATGACTTGTGCACTTTGCCTAGAAGTGGCATCTCTCCTTCAAGGAAGGCGGAGGAAGGCTTGAAAGTGAGCGGCTTATTTATACAGACCTCTGATATCGCTTGCTCCAGCCACACTCATAAAGCCAAAAATCTGTCTATGTTGGCCTCATACAGAGGTACAAGTATCTGCCAGTCATCTTGTTGGTAGATATAGTTTCCCCGTCCATTTCCATCACCTGCGTAGTTTACAATGACAGGAAGAGACTTCAGCTCTGTAATGAGCTCTCCAGTTTAGACAGGTCACTTGAAACTACACACCCAGGAAGCAAAAGTGGGAAGACTGAAGGGGATTTCCAGTTGGGTAGAGGATGATAAGGATAGGAAGAGGCCATAGTCTGGCAAGAGAAAGAGCTGTTCAGCCAGCTCTCCCACAGTGTGGTCAGATGCCGGTGGAAACACTGATCGCGGTGTGCTTAGGAGCCATAAAGGAGGCGCCATTTTGAACAGAGGTGAAGCGGGAAGGTGGGAATGACAGGCTTGGGTAGTGTCTTAACATCAACACGAAGTCACCGTAGCTTCTTAAGATGTTTCGGTCTGCATGTTAGAACTCAACCCTGGAAGCAGAATGAAAGCCAGATCGGTGGCAAGGAGACCAATTAGAAGGCCAACTGGTAGCTCCTTAAACTAATTCGGACAACAAAACTCACAATAGCTGTACTATAAAAGAGCAACAAGTTTGTTCCCTGCCATCACCAAGAGAAAAAGTTAATACCCATTCCCCTTGCACTGCGCCCTGCCTTCCCCGACACCGGACGTCGAGGTGGGAGCACAGCCTCTGGCCGTGCACAGACGCTTCAGCCCCATCTCAGGTCTGGTGCTCCTTGATGAAGCCTGCGCCGACACCCACTCCCAGCAGCCACTGCGTGTTAGCAGTCCCCAGGGCACCCGTGGATGACTGTTTACTGTTTCTCTGTCCTTGCACTTTTCACCCTCCTGCCCGAGTATTCTTTAGCTTCCAACTGCACGATGTTCTTAAATAAGAGTACACTGTTGGTTTTCAGTCCCACAGAACACTCAGTAGAAACAACCTGAACCATAAAATTTGTGCATATAGTAAAGCCTGAAGTTTCCCCTTCCCCAGTAGAAACTGCTTCCCGACACTCTTATGTCTTATACTTAATGTCAGACTTTCTCTAACTCTCTTGTATTCCAAATTCAGTTCATGTATCTGTTTCCATGTATTCTAACCTAAAGTGGCCTCTGCATTGAACATTTTTGTAAAGTAAAGGAAACATTTCAGACAACATACTTTAAGGGAAATGTAATTTCAAATGAGACATATGATGATGGTGGTGATGATGGTAACATAATAGAAACCTCGTAGAGTGAATATTGCCAAGCACTATTCCTAAGCATATACATTTATAAATTCATTTGATACAGTAACCCAATGAGATAACTATAATTCCCCCATTATGGAGGAGATGATGGGAAGCATAGAAATATAACTAGCTAGCACAAGAACAGATAGCTGGTACATGATGGGTCAGGCCTAAGAGTTTTCTCCATCGCACTTGCTTCAGAATTGGTGTCATAATAACGAAGCTCTACTCTTTGTCCTTTACATTTACATATTCCAGGCTTTGATATTTATACAGAGTGAAATGTTCAAAAGCTTCAGCTTTAAAAAATGAGTCTAGGGCCAGGGATATAGCTCAGTGGCACAGTGCCTTGCCTGGCAAGTGCAAGGTCCTGAGTTCAGTTTCCAGTACCAAAAAAACCCGATTCTAGCTAGGTGTGGTGGAGCACACCTGTGATCCAAGCAGGCCTAGTACTCGGGAGGCTGAAGCAGGAGGATCAAAAGTTTGAGGCCAGCCTGGCAACTTAGTCTCACAAAAGAGAAAGGTGTGACCGCCTTAAGAATCTCATTTTAACTGGCATCTCCCGTAACTCCCATCTAGCTCCAGTGCTGGCACTTACTATGGTCGGCTATGAGATTCGCCTTCAAGGAACAGCAGGGCATTCAGAGCTGTTTGTCATGATGCGTAAACACATTCCTCTTGCACCTGTACTTTGTCCTCAGGAAACAGAAGCAGCTGAAGCTGTAAACATGCGCAGCACTCAGGATGATTTTATAGTCTCTGCTCAGTGTCAGGCAAAATAGCTGCTCCTGTGTTAACATACAGGTTCGAAGTTGCATGGGTAGTTTGCAAACCGGCCTCTCTATTCCAGCATTCCCGAGGCCTGTCAGTCTCCTAGCATGGCTTACCAGTTAAGAGGCGCGTGGTCTGGAAACCAAGAGTGGGCTACAAGACCATGCCAGTTCTGTCTCCTAGCTCACTGTCACTGCACCTCTGGCGCTCATGTGGCGTGGCTGACCAAAACAAGGAGGGAGGCGGAAGTTGGAGTATGAGACTTGTTCTCCTGAAACACGAGTATGAGTCAGACGCCAGCACAGGTCGCTGTCCCAGACAGCTGGCCACAGTGCGGTGCCGTTGTTACGTTTCACTTTCCTAGATCGGCCTGGCCTTCACATTCCTGTGCGAACTCTCATTTCTGTTGCTTTCTCATTTGAACAGAGCACCACGGCCCACCATCTGGAACAAACTCTGCCAGGCAAAGCCCCGCAATGCCGCACAGAGCCCTGGGACAGACGCAGGCCAACCATGTTCCTGGAGACAGGTGGGACTGTTGTCACTGGCTCTTGGTTTTGTCTCTTCTCGCTGCTCTTGACACTCGGCACCGCAGTTGTGCGGAAGACAGCTGCTGAGGTCCAGCAGAGCACCCGTGTGCCTTCTGCTCGCCCGGCGCCCAGCAGTGCCCTCCCGGCCCAGTGCAGCTATCTGGGCTGCCCGCAGGGAGGCCTGGAACTAAGTAAGGAAGCCCCAGACCACAGAATCGTATTGCTCTCCTCTCCTGCTGAAAATATTAGCACGAAACAAAAGCTAGATTTCTAGAAATTCAGCATCTTCTGAGGCATTGGCATTCTGGGAGAGTCATTTTTCACTGTGACAGGGCGCTTTATCTGCCCTCTGGCTCAGTTCTTCCTAGATGCACACTGCACTGAGACGCTATTAGAAAGAAACAGGGATGTTGACTATTTTAAGGTACACTGGGGTCGGTGGCCAGCGTCTCCCTAGCTCCCTGGTTCTAGGTAGGTCGGTCTTTCTAACAGTTTCTCCGAGGGAGGATGGTGAAGATTGGTTTTACAAGAAAGAAATTAATCTGCTTTCCCTTGGCAAAAGCTTTTATTTTCTCAGTTGAGAGAATGACGATTTCTCTCTTACAGAACTGCCCTGGAAGGTGAAATGGCAAAGGATGCTTCCGGCTCTTACAGACATTCCTGGTCTGACCACAAGCACCTCGCACAGCCTGACACCGCTGTGATTTCAGTGGTCAGCAGTCGGCATAGTCAGGTAAACCAGCTCCTTCTCACAGGGACTGAGACTTGCAGTTGCTCTGTCACTGACCTGGCTGGTTTTTATTGCACGTAAGCTCTCAGGTAAATTGGTTTCCAAAATTAATCATCAAAGACCTGCTGTTTGATATCTGGTTAGCTTCCATGAGAGGATATAAAGAATGAAGGAAAAGTACACCGGGAACAAAATTGACCCCTTGGTCCAGTACTCAAAAGCACATAATGTTGTAGCTAATTAAAATAGGAGGCTTTTGTTTGTTCATTTTTCAGTCAAAGCTCCTTTTTAAAGGAGGTGTTTTCTAAATTCTGTTCTCTTCTACTGTGCATTAACCAGCTAGGAAACCTGTAATGCTTAGTTTGGGGTGCCAGCCCAAACTTGCATTTCTTTGGCACAGAAACGCGTGTCCAATGTGCAGAAGCGTTCCTGCCACTATACAGGCAGTCTTTCCTCACGATGTCCTCAGCGCTCCGTGAGAACTTATTTCTCTGACTCTTCCCTCCCCGCAGAGCCTGGGCTGCTACCCGGTGGAGCTGGAGCGCGGCCCCCGGGGCTTCGGGTTCAGTCTGCGAGGTGGGAAGGAATACAACATGGGGCTGTTCATCCTCCGCCTCGCTGAGGACGGCCCGGCCATCAAGGACGGCAGGATTCACGTGAGTGGCTTCTGTCTGCTGCCTTCGCTGCCAGCTCTAGACTGGACACTTCTACAAATAACTGATTTAGAGGGAAAGCAGAAGCCTCGTCAATCTCAACTTTTTCATGACAAAGCTAAGGAGGGGGGCCCAGTCCTCTCGCCAGCGAGCCGGACTGCACTGCAGCTGTGCTACTTGCCTTTCTGATCTTGGTCAAAAAACAAAGTCATTTCTTACTTGCACAGCCAACATCTGAGGGTAAATGGATTAATAAATAAAATATACTCTCATCTTATTAAGTCTTGAGAAAGCCAGGATAAAACAGAATCTTTAGTTTCTTCCAAGAAAAAATAAGCACTGGGTTTTTTCCTCGTAGCCACCTGTAGAGGTAACCAGAGGTGAAAGCTGAGTCTCCCAGCCTTCGTTATTATTTGATGGACTAGATTCACGTCAGTAATATTCTCCGCTAGTGTTCTCAGCTCTCAGACACCAGCTCTGCACAGGGCACTGCAGACCAAAAGTGCTTGCAGATCTGGTTCTGCCTTCATCTCTGTATATTAAAGACTCCGATAGAGAAGATAATTGTCCTCAAATTTTTATTGATTTTGAGGTAGGCACTGAACCCATGGCCTTTGCACTGAGCTACATCCCCAACCCTTTCTCCATTTTTTGAGACAGGGTCTTGCTGAGTTGCTGAGTTACCAAGTGTGTACTAGACTTGAACTTCGACATCCTGCCTCCACCTCTCAGAGTTCTGGGATTACAGGCATGTGCCACCACATGTGTCAGTGCTGTCCTCAAGTTTTAAAAATAGTTAATTCACTGCTATTCAGTTAGGTATGCAATAAATTTCTAAATTCTAGACAGTCTTCCCCTTACCATCCAACTTTGGATTTCTCCCCTCTAGCATCAGCAGGCATTAGGGAAAGAGAACTTGTTTCATTCAGCTAAGCACACAAGAAAGGCAAATGATCAAAGCCCGACACAGTGCTAACACACACGTATGTAATCCCGGAACTCAGGAGGCTGGGGCGAGAGGTTCGCAAGTTTGAGGCCAACCTAGGCAACCTAGTGAAATTGTATCTCAAAAAAGGCAGAGAATGTCGTTTAGCCTTGGGTTTGCCTAGCGTGCAGAGACCTTGAGTTCAGTCTTAGGACTGCCAAAAAAGGGCAGAGGGGTCTGATTAAGATTTAGAGAAGCATTCAGGATAAGGGGGTGAAAACCAGTTGAATAGAAAAAGTTCGTATTAGAGAAGAGTGTTGTACTTGAACCTAAGGCCTTTACACTGAGCTACTTCCCCAGCCCCCTTTTTTATTTTTTATTTTGAGAAGGGATCTCACTAAGTTACTAAGTGGCCCAGGCTGGGCTCAAACTTTTGGTCCTCCTGTCTCAGCCTTCCAGACTGCAGGGATTATAGGTATGTACCACCACATCCAGCTGTGTAAGACACCTGTTCAACACAAAGCAGAATCAGATCATATTTAGAAAATACTAAGAGTCTGCTGTCTTCTAGGCAACATGTGTTTTTCCCTGTATTAATTTCAGTCTCTGTGAGGTAGGTGGCAGTACCCCACACAGATTTAAGTGAGGTTTGGGGAGACTGAGTCACCTGCTGAGATGATGTGGCACGTCAGGCTTTGTTTGGCTTCTGTCCCTTTAGATTTGATTTCATTAGGCGGCATAGTTTTCTGACAGTTGTAAGGCAATGCAAGCCATGTGTTAGAAATGTTATTTTGTAACTGTAGTATACTCTTAGTGGCTGTTTAAGTTTTATTTATTTATTTTTGAGACAGGATCTCGCTATATAGTTCAGGCTTCAACTCACTACTTAGCTCAGGCTGGCCTCAAACTCTAAATGATTCTACTGCCTCAGCCCCCCAAGCGCTGGGATTATATGCGTGTGCCACCATGCCCAGCTAGTGGCCGTTTCTCAAACTACAGTGGGTGGGTGTGTGGCGGGGAATGAGGTCTCACTGAATTGGTAGGGCTGGGCTTGAATTTTTGATCCTTGTGCCTCCGCCTCCCAGACTGCTGAGACGATGCATGATTCCATTTAATTTTTTTTCTTGTATTTCTCTGTTCATTCCTCTCTTCTGTCCCTCATAATTTTATTTTTCAATAATACCCAACTGAATTTGAGTCTTTATCAAAACCTGTTTCCCCATTTTATTTTGATCACATTTAAATTTTTAGAGTAACTTAAAATTTCAGCAGAATGGTTACATTTCCCTGTCGGGTGGCATTTTAAAAAATCTTTAGTTTTGTGTAGCTCAGAGGAGAACCCCTCCCCCAGTAAACATTAAAGCCCCAGCTCCCCTTCCTTTTCCCTGATTTGGTCTTAAACAAAAATGACACCTGGTGGCAGATCTGTTCAATTACAAGTTTCATTTGCAGTTTGTCATAAACAGGCTTGGTGAGTTTAAGCCAAACAGTGTGACTGAAATGAACTATAACTCAGCCATGTTGTGTAAGATACACCTGAGCACACTCCAAAGGCTGTTTCTATAATTATGAGGATTACGTATCTAGTGCTCACTTAGCATTTGTATTTCCTCATGAAAGGGATTGCACCAAAACTTAGGGGAAATCGAGGTATTGGCTTTTGTTTCACTTAGATATTGTGGATAGTAGGGTTTTTTGTTAGTTATCTTTCTTACCCTTCTTCATCCTCTTATTTTTTTTAAGTTCTTTTTATGTATCTGGCTTACTCTGTTGCCTGTTACCATAACTGAAAACCTGAGAGTTGGAATAGATCATTGTCTTACAGTCTGGAGGCATGGAAGGCCAGGGCCCAGGCCAAGGGCCACACAGTGATGGGGCATCTTGCTGAGTTCTGAGGCCTGCAGAGCATCACGTGTGGAGAGAGAGCACACAGGCCAGACCCAGCTCCCTTTTATAGCAGAGCCACGCCTTCAAAAACCCACAGTCCATCCGCAGATTAATCAGCCAGTCACCTCCTGAGGTCCCACCAAATACCATTACCATTGAATTCTGAGAAGTCCATTCCCAGTACAGGAATTCAGGGGAGCATTCACATTGCAGTAGTATAAATCCACCAGTCTTGTTTCTGATTATCTTTCACTAGCATTTTTTTTTTCAAATAGTTTCATATAGTGTAGGTGGTATTTTACCTTGTATAGAATGAGGTGTAGACTACAGTTAAATCTTCACACTAATGCATTTATAACTTGGAAAATAACATTTACCTGTGGCTGGTGTATAGTCACCTTTCATCTCACTAACCCCCAACCTCGGGAGGTAGGTGCTGTTCTCACTAACAGGGCAGGGCAGTGAGGCCACTGAGCTCGAAAGGAGCACAGATGGAACCACAGACATGGCCTCTGAAGTCCAGGCTGCCAGCTGCTGGGCCAGGCTGTCTCTAGGGTTCGGAGATGTCCCGCTGACCTCTGTCAAGTAATTGCCGAGTCCTGTTGTATTACTCCTAGGCTTAATAAATATTTGCTTTTTGGACTTTTAGTAATAGTTCATTGTTTAGTCCTGTTTTGAAATCAATGCCTTCAGTTGCCTGTCACCTTGACATAGATTCTAAAATCACTATCATCATCTTTAATCAAGTCCTCTGCGGAAGTTAATATTTGATTATCCACATTTTCCTTTTCCTTTTAAAATAATTATTTGCAATAAATAACAATGGTGCTAACACGTCTTCTTTTGATCCCTAGTTTGTTTTCCAGGGCAATACTTTCCCACTAATGTTAGCCAGTAGTGGTTATAAATAAGTATTCATACCCGTTTGTTCACTGAGCTTCATGCTTTTAGAATTTCAATCTCTGAGTCTGTCGTTTAGCTAAGGCCTCCTATACGGACAGGATACAGCAGCGGCACAGAGAAGAGGCAGTTCTCCCGGAGAAGGTGTTACGAAATTGATTGAAGGTTCAGCTCACTTTTGAAAGTACTCTTCAGTTTGATCGTTCAGATACAGCTCTGTGGTATCATTTGGTTTATTTTAGAAACTACTTCTTGCCTGCCTAACTTTAGGTGGAAAACTCGGATTTTTTTTTTTCCTTATTCAATCCTAGGCATTGAACACAGGCCTCACACGTTAGAGAAGTTTTTTGGGTTTTTATTTTGTTGGTATCTGGGGATCAGACCCAAAACCTTAGGCATGCTGGGCAAGTGCTTTACCTAAGACTTTGATTTTTTTATTTCAAGATGTCCAGATCCTGACTTAGTAACCAAACGAAACTTTCCGTTGTAGGATTTTTATAAAGTAAAACTGTACACTGTCTTGCCCTATTGCCGCCATCTATCCATAGGTCAGCTGTAGCATTACAGCACACTGCATCAGCTAAAGATTTAAGGAGACTCACTTAGCAAGACTGGAGCGCTCTAGAGTTGACACAAGCAGAATGGAAGGGTACGTAGCTTCATCTTGTTCCTATGACTGTTCCCTGTCTAGGTTGGTGACCAGATTGTTGAAATCAACGGGGAACCTACACAAGGCATCACACATACTCGAGCAATTGAGCTTATTCAGGCTGGTGGGAATAAAGTTCTTCTTCTTTTGAGGCCAGGAACTGGCTTGATACCTGACCATGGTAAGTAAAGTTGCTAAAGATCTACTGTAGCTAAAAGGTGTGTTTTAAAGAGGGGGCAGCAGAAGGAAAATAGTGTGTCTGGGTATTTTACTAGCTAAATCAGACATGAGCACCAGAATCATCGAAAGCAGAGTGACTTCCACTTGTTGGAATAGGATGTATTTCATCAGAAAGCATAGAGTGCTTTTGTAGAGAAATGCGCCTGTAAGTAATAAGGACATTAGAGGCAAACAATTTAAATGACATGAAAAACATTTAAACTGTCTTAAATAGTCCAGCTGTCCCCCGTCCTTGGTTAATTACATATTACCAAGTGTTACTCATTTCTTTATAGTAAGATGTTTGTCTCACTGAGTAAACCCCATAAGAACTTTAGGCTTTTCTGGTCACTTGTCAAAAACAAGTTGCTATAGTCCTATCTGTGATACGAAGCAGGACCTGAGACCATGTCTGTGCTCCTGGTCTGGTCTTCAACTTCCTTGGTTTCACTGTATGTTTTTGAACTGTCACATCAGCCTAACAATAAAGGCAGAACCACACCCACTGAGTCCTGTCTCCTCTGGGGCCCCCGACCCATCACAGATCTTCTGTAGGATAAGCGTAGACGTAACCTCCCGCAGTCCCCTTGCAGCTTGTAATTCTCTGACTGTATTATCTTCCACCATCTGCTTGTAGATCATACATTCCCAGTGACATCTTTGCTAACTGTGCTGATTTTTTTTTTCATATAGTCCTAGGCTTTTTCTCTTCCTTCTTCAGGTTTGGCTCCTTCCGGTCTGTGCTCCTACGTGAAACCTGAGCAACATTAAGGCTTTCAGGGCTTTTCTTGGTCTTTCCTTAAAAAGACTTGGTAAATTTGCATGTCTTATAAATCACTTCCTTCGTTTTCTTTTTAATTAAAAATGATGCTATTAAATACATCTATTTCTGTCTTCTGCACTTTTCAGTCTTCTTTTGACATTAAATTTTGAGAGCTTTATGCAAGAAACTTATTTACAAATGCCCATAAACCTCATTCTGGTTACCGCAGTTTGGTCTCCTTTATTAGTGATTCTGATATATCCACTGATCACACCTTAATTAGCCTCAAGGACCAGGTAATTTGGTCCAGTTTTATTATTTCTTTCTTATATGCTTCTGGTTGGGCTTTACTAATAAAGAACTTACAGATTATATATTATCTCACTAATTATACATAATTATAAAAATGAGGCATTATGTACATAAAAATCTACCCTTTGTGTATGAACAGATGTCTATACACATCTGCCTTTACAGAGAGCTATGTAAACATGTATAAACTGGGTAACATATGCAGGCTGTTCATGCAGTCAGTACAGTTCAAATGGCTGTCAAAAGTTCAAAACTATGGTTCCCGTTTACATTTCTAAAATGTAATGATGTTCCGCTCCAATCACTTTGTAGGTGACTGGGACGTTAATAACCCTTCATCTTCCAGTGTGATTTATGACGAACAGTCACCATTTCCCCCAGCTGCACATTCTGCTTCCGTATTTGAAGAGTCTCACGTGCCAGTAACTGAAGATTCTCTAGTGAGAGTTCAGATGTGTGAAAAGGCAGAAGAATTAAAGGACACTGTACCTGAAAAGAAAAGCACTTTAAATGAAAATCAGCCTGAGATAAAGCATCAGTCTCTTCTCCAGAAAAATGTGAATAAGCGGGATCCACCCAACAGTTATGGGCACAGTGACAAGAAAAATCTACTAAGAGTAGAAAATGGTGTTACACAAAGAGGTCGATCTGCCAGTCCCAGAAAGCCAGCTCATCGCTATTCAGAGGAACATTTGGAAAAGATTCCTAGTCCTCTAAAAAATGACCCCAAAAGAAGACCCAGGGATAGATCACTCAGCCCTAGAAAAAGGTGTCAGATCGACACCAATGTAGGTTCTGGACAAAATCATTACAGAAAAAGCAGAGGACGCTCTTCTAGCCCAAAGAAGCAGCAAAAAACTGAAGGAAGCAAGGACTTGTCAAATGCTGAAGCCAAATTACTCGAAGGTGAGAGTCGCAGAGTAGCAGGCCGCGCTAGTGACAATGCTGAGCAGCTCCCAGATGGGAAAGAAAGATCAAGTGTGATCAGCAAAGACGTGAAGCAGAGCCAGCTGGGAAAAGACAGAGCAAGGTCTCCAGAGAAAAAGAGCAAGAGAATGGATGAAAAGTCTCCTGCCTCCCAAAAGGCTAGCAGCACTGCCAGTAGAGCAGTGTCTGAAAATGAAAAAGGGAAGAAAGCAACCATAGGAGAAACACGTTCTGGTAAAGATAAAACAGGAGGAAATGTCCAAATAGCAGAAAAAAAGCTGAAACAGGAACCAGATGAGAGGATGGTATTCAATAAAACAGAAGATCACAAAGGGAAAGAGCTAGAGACAGCGGACAAATGCAAAGAGAGTGAGAGGTTCAAACCTGAAAGCAGCTCTCCAGTTAAGAAAACACCAATAACTCCCGGGCCCTGGAAGGTGCCGAGTGCAAATAAAGTCACAGGCACGACTGGCATGGCTGAGAAACGGTTGTAACCTTTAGCATAAAACAAAGAAAAACAAGTTGTAATCTTTTCTTAGTAAAAAGCATTTTTCCAAGAAGTCTTTTTTTTTTTGCAGAAATTGTGAAACACCTAAGTACATTTTAATTTGCACATCAAGTTTCTAGGCTGCATGAAGGGCCTTTAGGATTGCTAAGAACCGGCCGTCCCTGGCTGGCTGCCCTCCCTCGCTCAGGAAGGAGCTGCGCCCCGCGCTCGGCTGACCTGCCCTGCGCGTCTCCGTGAGTGTCTGACAAGCGACACGTTGATACCAACAATGCTGTCGTAACTCACTTTGTATTTGTGCCAAGTTACCTACTGTATCGCCTGTTTTATCCTTCTCACTCAGATATTCCCGAAATCCCAGTAGGTTTGGCTTGGAAGTTGGTGTTCTCAATAGCATGTTGCATGTTTACAGAGAGAAATATCTGAGTCCTTGCAGACGAGATTGTTAGCTTATCAAACTAACAACTACTGATGGAGCCCCAGCTTAAAAGTAAAACTCCCAAGCATCGTTAATTTAAAGCAAAAGGTCAAATAGTAATGCTTTCTTATAGCTTTTTATTTTCATTTGGCTGGATAACGTATTTGAAAGTAACTGTTACAGATACAACAACTGAATGTTCAAAATGAGAAAGTCCTTCTAAGCAGCAGAGTTCACCTCTCGGCTTGTTAACCAAACAGTACTGCATCTCAGGTCACCTTTTGTCATTGTGAAGCCACAGAGCACCATGCAGAAGAGTACTGCTTACTGTTCTTCAGAGGGAAACTGCCCATGACCTATTCCTGGACACTTGGAGTGATCTCCCACTAAAGTCACCAGTCTTTAATAGATACGACAGATTTGAAGAATCAGATTACATAGAGTGTGTGAGGGACTTAATCTTGAAACCAGTTTCGCAGTCCATTGCCACATGCAGGCCTAGCTCGTGTGTGGAGGCAGAGCCTGGGGGCCTGCCTGGCTGTCAGGACGAGCATGGTAGACAGTGCGTGCTGGGTCTTTAACCTTTAGTTACATTAATTTTCTTATTGAAAAATAAGAAAGGGAGATGAAACATCTGCTTAGCTTGTACAACTTTTCAGAGTTTTTTTAAAAGTCTAATTACAGGTGTGTGCTGCAAGATATAGTTAACTCCATAAAATAGGTCCAGATTTTACGAACCCCTAAAGCAGCATTCAGTAGCATCTATAAATAAAGGCACACTTTCAGCGTAAAAATATTTTATGGAGTATTTAAACACATTTGTTCTGTCACCCAGAGTTCATCTCGTTGTTACAATCATGTCCAATGACACATTATGTCCAGGTCGATCCTTCTGCAAAGCTGACTGTGAAACTCATACAACAGTTGTATCAGACCCTGTAGATAGCACACGCTTCCCAGAGTGAGACTTCTGAAATCCCCTTTCATCCAGGACTTATTTACCCATCTATTGTAATTACTTGAATAGAGCAAAACTAGGAGGCTTGAATAAATGCTAATAATTTAGTAACAGAAATGATTTATTTTCCCTATAGTCCACAATTAGTGATACAAATCCTATTTTTATCGTTAATTGTGACATAACTTTGATGTCATATGTTGTCTGATGTGGCTCTTCCCTAAGTAACCTGTCACTGTACTGATTATAGACTGACTTAGCAATGTGGCCTTGGAATGCTGAGCAAAAACATGGATGTCCTGGCTGTAAATGTTTATATATGTACAGTACCTTTATATATACACTTGAGGTTCTGATTAGAGAAAGATCTGTAAATTGCTCGTTATTTTTTATATAGATATTAAAAAAAAAAAACAAAAAGCAATTCATCACTTGGATTTCTTTGACTTTCAGCTTTGCTTATGTTGCTTTCTACTTGTGGAGCTAGTTCTCAGAAAAGATTTTTGTCCCTCCAAGTAACAAATATTCAAAGTCCTACATTCAAGAAGATTCTTACAATGTGACTTCCCCTGTACAGCTAGACTTTTATACATACATGAGATCTGAGTTAGATATATCTATTTTTCACCTTTCAATGTAAAGAAAATAATTTTGCTTAAATAATTTGCTACTTAAAAAACCTTTCTTACACTATCAGAGAGGATAGTTTGTCTTACTAGTCAATTACTAGACAGTTGTAATGTCTAGCTATACAGTAAGTCCTGTTAACACAAGGTCTCAAAATTCTGTTTCCTCAGACTGTGGCAATCCAATGTTATTCTTACAGGTTGTTTTATTTACTTGAAGAAGGACATATTTATACTTGTTCATAGTAAGAGTTAAATGGAGTCAAGGCCTAAAACCTACTTTAAGACCCACCACTGCATGAACTCACTCTAGGGGTAAAATTCATTCCCTAGTTCCCAGGCCCCCTAGTGAAGATGAGGTGTGTTATAGCAAAAGCTGAAGGAAGTACCTGCAAGAGAGTCCCCCCAAAGCCCAGAGTGGACACATTGTCTTACTGGTCGCTCAGGCAGAAGAGTTTTGGGAAACTACGACATGATCTCACCAGAAAGACCCGGTTGCTAAGATCAAAAGCCCTGTCTTCAAACAGTTACATCACACAGCTCTGAACAGGCTCAACTCCTATTTCAGTAGTCCTGGACCAAAAAAGCACTTGGCTTATTTATTTCACATAAAAGTAAAAGGTATGTGGACTAATAGAGTTTCACGTTTAATACATCCACTCTTGAGAGAGTTGGGTTTTAAGAAAGCAAGGTACTGAGATTAAGATCGATGACAGCCTGCCAGGTCAGACTGGAGATGACCACGGCATGCTCCCGGAATTGAGAACTCTGGTACAAACACAGACTTGTCACAAAGCGTGACCTTCCAGTCTGGTAGGAATACATCAGAGCAACTTGTTGTATCATCATGCCATGCACCAATGCCTAAAAGCCATCTGTCCTTCTAAAATAATAACATCTTTATCAAGGTAACTTTTCTGGTTCTACTGTAAGGATTTACTAGCAACATATGCCTTACTTAAAGCATGCCATAATTATTCCACGAAGTCTGTAACCCTTAGTTGGCTCACTTAGTTGAAGATGCCCATTAACATGGACGTGTGTTCAGCGTTGCTATGACGTAGCATGAGGCATGAGAAGAAGTGTGGAGGCATGTTAGGGAAGGAACTCCAACAGGAGGCCCTGACTCTCTTACCTATACATTAAAATATAAAAAGACGTAAGTGCTGCAACTTAGCCCTACACGTTGTTAACAAAGACTCCTGCGCATGTGTGTCTATTTTATAACACTAACATTAAAGCAAGCCAGACAACTAGCAGATTCACAAATCCAAAGGTCCGTTTTGTCCTTACTTGAGGACAACCACTTGGGCAGTACCTCATGGCAGCTTACAGGCTCGAGATACTCCGCGGGAAAGGAAATACATTTGTGACACTCACTTCATCATTCGACATGGGCACCAGTAACTACAAGTCAATACGTGTGTAAATTAGATTAAATGCAAGGAATTTACTTTCTGATCTACCCAGATCGCATACTATATAAGAGCAAAACCCATACAGCCTGCATATGTAGATCTAAAATATTTTCAAAATGAGTTTCATTAATTTGAAAGAAGTTTATTTTTACAGTGCATAGGTCCACTTACCTCTAAACACCATGAACCAAAAGTAAAAAATAAACCAATAAACTTGTACTTTGTGAGACACCCTTGTATTTATTTTCCTACATGTCCCTGAAAGCCAAGAAAACCATATGCCAATTAGGTATTTCATTATTCAACTTTTCAAACATACTACACAGCGGCCATAGTCTACACATTCCGGAAGTTTGCACATCATACCTCCATGGCAATGTTAGGAGGGGCAATTCTCCTCAGTCCAACAGTAGATTAAAAAGTTAAGTCAGTAGTTATTTCACTTACACTTCTACAGTCACTACTATTCCAGTTAAATTATGAATAGCTCGCCCTGTCTTCACATCTTGGTTTAATTTCTCATCCCTTTCTGGGAATCAGAAGCACAGGTTCCTAGAGGGGATTATCCCGGGATAAATGGGGCAGAGAGCGTGGCTGAATGACAGCTCTTCCACCGTACCAGAAAAAGCACAAGAATGGTAGCAGACTGTTCCTCCTGCACACGTTTGAAGGAAATCAGCAGATGAACCGTGTCACCAGAGAAGCTCCCTGAAGGAGCTGACGGCTGAGAGGAGCGCCGCCGGCCGGGCCGAGCTGAGGCGTTTTCTGCGCGGCCCCACAGTGGGAACTCCCTTTGGGGGAACCTGCGGTGGGAGGCAAAGGGTGAGATGCAAAGCAGGAGGGAGGGAAAGTTGGAAAGGGAAGCAAAATGGATAGAGGAAGGCGTGGAGGAGACTACGGAGGCCAAGGAAGGCTGAAATGCAAGAGGCTGAAGGGTGGCTCCACGTTTTCCGATGGTTCATGTGGCTGTGCAGAACCAGCTGAGTGGGCAGTAACGGGAACAGCAGTGGCTCAGCACCACGGTCCAGGTAGCTTAGGGTTCGCTGAAGGCGGCTTAACCCAGTGGCAACAGAAACACGGAACTGACATTACCCTGGTGGCACGGTGCTCCCTTCAGCGGCACCTACGCTAAAATTGCCAGATGTGGTGTAATACTCCAGAGGCTGAGGCAGGAGGATCACCACAAGTTTGAGGCCAGCCAGGACTGCACAGTTCAAGGGCAGCCTGAACTACCCAGTGAGACCCTTTCTAAAAAGCCAAAAGCAAAAAATAACAAAAAACTTCGGAGCCTTTGGCTTTAACAATTGGGTAAATTTTTACCATTTAAATAGGGTAGGGAAAACTTTTACTCTCCCACCTTAATACAACTAAAACGAATGAAAAAAACATTTTCTAAAAAAGGGATATCAGATGCTGGGCAACAAACATCAAGGGACAGTGGAGTTAACAAGGCAGCCTCAGGAGTGCCCCTGAGGTAGTTTCTAGGCCGTGGTGTAGAAAGGGAGAGCTCAAAACAGAACCAGGCTGTTTACTGAGCGGAAAGGACAGAACTGAGCATTTGGGCCGGCTGGCAGAACCTGCAGGGCGGGGTTCTGCAGAAAATGCCCTCCACGGAGAGAAGAGCTCTGGAGACACGCAGAGGGCTCCACGGAAGCCTTAGCTGAGCACCGATGGGCACAAGCAAAGGGGGACACAGCCAAGAACAGAGGCGGCAGAAAACAAAGTTCACACAGGGCTGGGACACTGCAGTCCATGTTCCCGCGGCCAAGAGGAAAAGCCTCGGGGAGAAAAGCAGCAGGTACAACACTGTACCCAGAGGGGGCAGCTTCACAGCGCACGGAACTAGCCCCAAATCGAAGCCGCCTCTGGGCCAGCTACAAAGCTTAAAAGCAAGCCGGGACAAGTAGTAACTGCATTCCAAAATAAAGCTCAGAACATTTATGATTACAGAAAGAAGACACACAAGGCCTAACAGCCAACAATGTAAACTCCATAAATACAAAACTACCAGCATGGAAAATCAGGAAAATGTAGCCTCAGACCCAGAAATCAAAAACCCCCAAGTGACCCAGGTAGCGGTTTTATGTCCTTGTTTACTACTTTGATTACAAATAGATTTATTATGTGAAACAAGGTAGAGAAAAAAGTACATTAAGAAGAGATGTGGAAGATATTTTTTAGAAGACTAAAATCAAAGTTTTACAGTTGAAAATTAGATAGGATTTGCAAATCAGTACAACAGTATAAGCTAAAGAACTTAAAGGTACAACGAAAGAAACCATCCCAAGTTAAAAAGGAGACCAGAAAAACAAGCATCAGTGAGCAGGTTAACTTTAAGCAGCTTAATACATATGTAAAGTCAAGTTCTAGTAGGAAGTGGGGCAGAATATGAATAATTATTTAAGGAATGTCAGTTTTTTCTAATATGACAAAGTGAAAATGTAAAATATACAATTTACAACTCCATAGATTCAGTAAGTCTAATCAACCATAAGAAAAAAAATAAAAGCCCATGATAAAACTATACCAAGACACAAGATACATTATAATTTGCACAAATTCCATGGTAAAGATAAAAATCTTAGGAGGAAAAGAAAAAAAGAACAGTGGTAACAGTGAAGCAAACTTACGAGAACCCAATCTAGGAAGCAATAAACAGCGGCATCTTCAGACCTAACTATTACACCCAGGAAAGTACTTTCCTCTGTCAAGCTTCAGAGCTACTTCTCAGCAGAGCGGGCCATGCGACCCTGCTAAAAGGGTTCCAGGTTATCTTCAAAACAAGTTAGCTAGCAGAATGGAGTCTAAGTGACAAAACCTAAGACACATTTCCTTTCTGACAAGAATAGTTCTACAAACATCAAGGGACAGTGGAGTTAAAAAGGCAGCATGGAAAGGAGGGAAAGCCAAGATACGTAAGAACAGAAGCATCAGAAACTTGTTCACAAAACAAAGGATGTCACTTTCGGGTGGTGGCAACGGGGACAGAGGAGTGGATTGATTATAAAATATCTGAAGACGTCCAAAGACTTGGTGATTCACTGGATGTGAGGTATAAATAAGGAGTCAAGTGATTCCCAAGTTTCTGAAATGACTGACTACATTTACACTGGATTTTACCCAGATGAAAAATATTTAAACAGACTGTACACCAGCACATTCATAGCTGAAGGAACTCAGAAGAGTACCTACTGGAATTCACTGTGCAAAAGTAGCAGATTAGAACAGAATAGCTTTATATTTTGGCAAGAGAAATAGACAAAGACCTCAGTTTTCTTCACCTGAAATCTGCACTGAGTTCAATCTTGGATTTGAGCCAGTTGCTACCGTTCCTTACGGGAAATAGTAAAACCGGGTCTCTATAAGCCATGTGCTCAGACACTGAAACACCACCACAAAACAGTTCTTTCTAGAGGTACGTTACTATAATGAGCTTTTACTATTTCAAAAGGGTATACTTCCTGTGTAGCATCTAGAATAGCTGCACTTTTTGGTGATCCATCTGATCAGCAGGCAGTCTCGCTTCCTATGCCTCTCTTCATGGTTAGGAATCTTATCAATGAGATTTTTAAGGGACTTGTAAGTAATAATAGCAAATGTTTATTGAGGATTTACTAAGTGCTAAATACTTTATACTAAGTCCTAGGTGCCTTACAGGATAATCGCAACCTTAACAACCTTATTAAGTAGTTATTGTCCTTTTTCTAACAGGTGAAGAAACTGAGATGCAAAGATGTTAATTTGTCCCAGATTATGAAGCTAGTACGTGGCAAGGCCAAGGATTTGAACCCAGAGATCTGATCTCAATCCTTATCCCTAAAAATTTATATTTAAGCCTCACAAATATTTCTACATATAGAATATTTACTACTAATATACTGGTAAATGAATACATGCTTTACAAGTAATAACCAGGCTTTACAAAATCTTATAATTAAAATGTTCAGGCTTTCAGTTTGCCTCAAGAGGTTCTTCAAAGCTTTAACTTGAGCAAGAATGCTGGAGTTTCCATTAGCATATGTACATGTACGCTTATGTAACAGGAGATGCTGAGAGAGAACCTGCATCACCCAAGGGCGGATGGCTTGGGTAATTACAGACACTGAGGACCTGAAATTGTACCGAGGGTTGCATACAACATTAAGCTGCATGACAGAAAAAATGGTTAACATGGAAACTATGTCATGCGATGGACATAGATTAAGTAGACATATACTTAAAATTTCTCTGGGCGAGTTACTGAAGATATTACATGCATGACTCACAACAACTGTACTTACTAGAATTAATTCAAAATCAAGCTAATTAAAGATTTTTCCACAGCTGAACAGAAAATGACAACTTAAAAAAGATTTTTTTCCCTTTAGCCAAAATAAAAAAGCCTAGAAACTGAAACTCTCCGGTAAAGTTTTTTTTTTATTTGGATTCAACCTAAAATAGTTTGACTCTCTTTGATAGAGAAAAGAAATCGCCAATTTTCTTAGACTGTAATAGAAAAGTACTGAATTTTCATATTTTCAGTAAAGAGATATTTGTTTCATGCTTTGGGCATCCACCATATTTACCCAAAAAGACTATTTCCAGCACATGTAACTGTCACAGTACCACAGTGCCCAGAATAAGCTTCCTTAGAAAACTGTCCTTGTGTTCCTGTAACACAGTTTTTAGTCTGCTACTACCATACTGTTTGAAAACCAGGCTTTAGCATGCACACCCCAGTGGGAAAGGGCGCGTTCCTCTGCAAACACCTGCGTGCGCTCTGGCGGAGCCGGCAGCACCTGTGCACGGGCCGCGCAGGCGGGGCTCACGCGGTCTGTGGCCAGCTCCGTCCTTCCGGTCGGCACTGATGCAGCCAGGGGTGGGAATCCAGGCACGGGACTCAGCTTATGACTTAATTTTCCACAGCTAAGAAAAATCACCAAAAAAGTTACTTTTAAGACAAACAGGTAGGATTTAAAGGTACATTCACTGACCATGAACCAAAAACCCTTTACATAAAAAAAAACCAGTATCATGGAGAAACCATTAAAAACATTAACTATGATTAGTTGATTAAAAACGATTAAAAAACTTTCAGGGTCAGAAATGACACATTGCAGCTCCTGTGTTAGTGGTTTCCTGAGAACCTCGCAGCACACGGTACTGAGATGAAATTCACACTTGATTTTTTTGTTCGTTCAGTTGAGTCTACTGTACTTATGTAAAATGAGGAGGGAACCTGTGCTTCCCACCAATCAAAATGCCTGCTGCTTTAGCTTGGGTTTCCCGGCCAGCCACACACCCACATGCCACGCACAAAGCAGATTATTACGCACAGTAACTTTCACATCTAAGATGCTAGAGTGGTGATCACACTTACTCTTATATTAAATCCTAAAAGATCACTTATCACTCCTGAGACAGCAGAAAGAATAACTACTCTTGTGATATTGTAGATTAAGGGATTCATTGTCAGTCCATAGAGTCTAAATGGTGTGTCCAGCTCCTATAAAAACATGAAAAAAATAAAATGAGACATAATTTCTGTTTTTCAGAAGTTGTTAGTAATTTCTTGCTGTTTTTTTAAGTTTTGGGTGAAGATGACTTTAAGGCTCTCTTTCCTTAAGAATCCAAAACTAACTTCAGAAACTCCATAATGTATCCTAAACTACTTTTCTGTGACCTTTATCTGTTATTTTACTTTTATAGTACTGGGCATGGAACCCTGGGCTTCACACTGAGCTATATCCTCAGCCCTGTTTTTATTTTTTATTTAGAGACAATGTCTTGCTAAGTTACCTAGGCTGCATTCAAACTTGGGGTGCTCCTGTCTCAGCCTCCCATAGTGCTGGTGTTACAGGATTGCACCACCACATTGGCCTATGACCAGCTTTTTAAGGGGGATTGGAACAACAGCCATTTATGGGTTTAAAAAAAGTAATTTAAAAGATGTGATAGACATCAGCAATTACCAGAACCTGGTAACAAGATTGAAGTTTTTTCCCTAGAATGTTATTAACCCAGAACTATCATGTTGGCATTTTGAATCTCCATAGCCTGGTATCTAGGTGTCATAAAGGGTCCCCTGAAAGAAGCAAAGCACTAATTTGATTAATAAAAAAGAAGCTTGATCCACTTTCTTTTTCTTGTGTAAAAACACTACATGGGGCCACAATGGAGCCTGAGTCCTCCGCGCAAGAACTCTGGATGGATGCACAGCCCTGGTCAGTGATTTCCTAATGGCACCTTGGAAAACACAGTCCTTCCAGAGGTCACAAACGAGACAGCTGCAGGTCTTGGTGACAGTGTCCACATGGCCTCGGTGAAGCGGAGGTGCAGCACTGGTGGCAGCTACTACCTCTGGGAGCAGGGAGGCAGCCACCAACACAGCTGCAGCAGCCAGTCCCCCTGGGTCAAGCTGGGAGGCCTGCGCAGCCCCTTCCACAGCAACCTCCTCCACAGAGACGATGGCGAGGTAACCAGAGCACGCATACCGGGACCCATACAAGCAACACGGTCCCTGATGGTGGCACACCTGGTCTATGGACCAGACTGTGCCTGCTTCTACGCAGGCACACCTCTTCCCCAAGGAATACAGCACCCCCACGAAAAAGCCACCGCTCTCTGACCGCTTGATGGCCAGGGGAGGCGGCAGCTGCCCTCCGGGAACTTGCTCTTACCGTGTTCCACCCAGCAGCCTGACTCCGTGACGGACGGAGCGCACTGCACCCGCTGGCCTCAGCCTGGCCCCCCGGAGATCGGGCCCCCTGGCTCTGGCCCTGATAGCTGCCTTGACCCTGAAGGCCGTGGCTCCCGAGTCTCCCCCAGGGCCTCCTGCCCCATTTGGGGCACCATCCATGATATGCTGTTTTCTCAGACAAGCCAATTTAATTTGTAGTAAAAGTATATCATAAGCTGTGACTTACTTTTAACAACTTGGTGGACAGCTTTAATACATTGTTTACTAGAGTGAGCTGTTCTTTCTTATTTGGCTTTTTTTCCATCTTAAGATATAAATTAATCTAAGGGAAGGGATAGAAAAATAAATTTCACAGAAAAAAAGATACATATGTATACTGCACAAAATCCAGCAAATTTTAAGGGTCATGTTTTCAGGTAAAATAAAATTCGAGTTTCCAGCAGCTCTTTCTATAGAGACCATGTCAGATACCCCGCCCCCATTCCTATTCAGCTGCCCCTGGCGAAGAAAAGCTACTTAGTAAAGAAAAAAACGTTAATGACGAAGCAGTTTAAACATCAAAATAATGAATTTTTAAAATTTTAATTACAATGTAATAATATAAGCAGATAAACCTGAGTTCAAAAACTGTATATTATTCATCTCTGTATCCCCCAAACAATCTAATATCTGCAATTAAACACTTGCAGAAATAAAGAAGATAGCTGCTTCTAAATTACTAATTCCTTAGCTTTTCCTTTTATAAAGAATCCTCCACTATAATTTTAAGGATTAAAAAGAAACTTCAAGTATACCTACTTTAAAGTTTATGGGTAAACTCAAAATTATAATCAAAGCTCAGAAAAATCACCTTATAGACTCTGTATTTACAACAAGCATTTCACCAGGCCGGCCTTGTGCATACCCATAACCCTAGCACTTAGGAAGGTGAAGCAGGAGGATCCAGTGAGTTTGAGGCCAGCCTGGACTGCACAGTAAATTCAAAGCCAGCCTAGACTACACAGTGAGATCCTGTCACAAAAAAAAATAAATAAATAACGTTTTTCTTCATCTTAGTATCTATTCACAAAGTGGAAAATATTTTCCAAACAATGAATAATGCATTCTATAGCTAACAGAAAGAAACAGGCAAAAAACAAGCCAAAAAAGGAAAGAAACAAGCTTCTGCACATACGAGGTGACAAGTACTCTGAAGATCCAGTATTTGATATAGAACATTAAAAGCAGCTCCACTACCAACAATAAAAACATCTTATAGTACACGAAATGTTTTCAGCTCACTAGATCTTAACTCTCACACTCCCAGGGGGAGCTGTGGAGGTGTCAGACCCACTTCTAAGGAGAAAACGGTTTCAGGCCCGCACAGGGACTCGGAGGTCAGACAGTTCAGAGAGCGACAGCCAGACAGTGACTCAGCGCTGATCCCGCAGCACTGAGAATATATTTTGCCACCTCTAACCTCTGAGCCAAACTGACAGGCCAACAGTACCTGTTCTGTAAGTAATATTGAAACATTGCTGTACTTCTTATTGGTTTCAGACCCCAGAGAGGCCAGGCGCAGTAAGAAAAGCAGTAAAGCGGTTTCCCAGATCAGAAACTCCCAGTTGTAAACATCATTCAGGAAGGTTTTATGTCCTTGAAGAACCTATCAAAGGAGCCAAGAAAAGTTCGGTTTATGATGTGTCTTAAAAATCATGTAATTATTGCTTTATTCTATCAATTGTATTTTTAAGAACTCAATATTTTAACATTCAAAGCAGAAGTCTTAATACGGATAAATATCATCTATTTACTTTTATATTTCTCTAAGTTTCCTAGAGTTTCTTCTTTTTCATGAAAGACATCCAGGGTTTTCAGTGACAGAAGAGGAAAACGTAACACACTAAGTAAAATAAGACAAATGCCGCCCACTCGCAAGCGCAGGATGACCACTGTTCAAAGCACTAAATTTGCATCATTAGGGGCCCAAAACATGCGGCCCATTCCACTGGTGTGACTAAAAAACCCTAAGGATCAGTTCTCCATTCTAGTTTAGAATCCAAACTAACAAGCTAGGATTTATTAGGTGCTACAATGTGTATAGTTTTCGGATACAAGTTTCTGCTGTTTTCAACATTGTTGACATAAAACTAAAGAAACACATTCAAGAAAGCCCAACCAAGGCAAGCTGAACTACTGAGACACATACAGAGAACTTTCACAGAAACCAAGTGCATCTGCAGAACAGGAAGTCACTAAGTGCCTCTTCTCCCGCAGGACCAGGCGGGCCACATCTCCACTCCTCCTGACCAGTTCCGTCGCCTCACAGGACCCGCTCTCTGCTTTCTCATTAACTTTGACTTAAGCCATCTGTGGTGTGACAGGCACCCTTGGCCTCAGCGTCCCCTCCTGGTCTGCCTTCTCCAAAATCCTCACTGATACCATAGGTTCTATGTTCCAATTTCCAAAAGAGAAAGTATGTTTAGCTCAGTTTGGGTCAGGTTCAACTCAGTCAATTAGCTATAGTGAGGTGGAATAACCTATGTGCTCAGAAAAGTGCTATAATTTGTTGCATGTAATAGATTACAAAGATACAATTAAACTGCTACAAAATGAAATACAAAGAAAAATTCTTAAAATAGGCCAGGGAAAAACCCACACATTTTAAAAGGAAAAAACAAAACAAAAAAAAAAAGCAGTAGGACTGGCTTCTCAAGATACTGTAAAATATGGAATGTGCTGAAACTAACTAGTAACCTAGAATTCTATTCCAACAAACAGTACCTTTCAAAAATGAAAATGAGACATTTCCAGTAAGCAAAAGCAGAGAACGCACCACCAGCAGACTGGCACTAAAGTAAATTCTAAATAAAGAAATAGGAGGGGGGCTGGGGATTTAGCTCAGCGGCAAAAGCGCCTGCCTGGCATGCACAAGGTCGTGAGTTCGGTTCCCGGTACCGGAGAAAAACCAAAAAAAAAAAAAAAAAAAAGAAATAGGAGGAAAGTAATCCTGAAAAACCACAAAAATGTAAGAAATAAAGGCAATGAAAAGGGTAAAAATAAATGCATACCTGACTACAAAAAACAATCACTTCTTTGGAGGGGGTGTATGTGTGTGTGGGGGTGTGTATAATGAACAAAAGATAAAAGAGTGAGATAAAGTGTTCTAAGATCCCGGCATTATCAAGGAGGCTATACAGTTTAATTAAACTATATAAGTCAGTCATTTTATTAGACTCAATCTCTGATATTACTACTAAAATAATAGTAAAAGAATGTATAACAAGGTAATGGTGAGGATTAAGTGGAATACTAAGAAATATTTGGTTAATAAAAACATAACAAGAGAGAAGAGAAAAAGGAAAATTAACAAGTAGACCAATCAGGAAATAAACAGTATCTGTAGGTGCACTGATTGTGTTAAGTTCAAATGAACAAGGCACTCCACAATACCAAGACTGGGAGGCTGGTTTAAAAAACAAGCAATCAAAAAAAGTCATGATGATTACAAGAGACATGCCTAAAATATAAGAAAATAAAAGTGTAAAGATATAAAATGCAAAAATAAAAGACAGCTCATGTACTTAATACCAAGTAGAAACATTAGAAATACAGACATTTAATAAAATCATAAAAGATGAAAAAAAATCCTCATTTATTGTCTACTGTTTCTTTTTCTGACAGAAGTTTTTGTTGCTTTTAACATTTTCAGATTAAAGGAGACTAGAGACAAGACAACTACATGCAACATGTGATTCTGAAATGGATCCCACACTCAAGGAAAACACACACACACACACTATAAAGGACATGAAAGTCAATCTAAGACAGGCATGGAGGCACACATATATATTCCCAGCTACTTAGAAGGCTGAAGCAGGAGAATTCGAAGTTTGAGGCCAATCTGAATAGCTTAGCAAGACCCTATCTCAAAATAAAATAAAAAGGGCTACAGGTATAGCTAAGTAGTATATAGCACTTGCCTAGAATTGTGAGGCCCTGGATCCAATCACCAGCATTAAAAAAAAAAAACAAAAAAAAAAGAGTCCCAAGAAGAGAAATAGCCATCCTAAATCTGGATGTACCACACAGCCTCATGTACATAAAGCAAAAATTGAAATAAATAGAAGGGAAAACAAATTCAGAATCACAGTAGACTTGAACATACCCTTACTGATGGCTGACAGAATAAACAAACCAAAAAATAAGTGAGGATATAGGCAGTTTGAGGAGCACAACTAAAGAACTTGGATTAGTGGATATATAAAGAAAACTGCTGTCAACAATGACAGACTACAAATCCTTCCAAAGTGCTGATGGAAATTTAATAAAACGAAATATATGCTGTACAATAAAGGGAGCCTAGACATAGTTCCGAGAACTGAAGAGTCAAGAGGTTTTCTGAGCACAGCAAGACTGAGCTAAACTCAATAAATGGAAAGAACAGAAGAAGCCTGTGACTCCTTGTAAGGAAAAAACAAAAGGACTTAAGACAGGAGGACCTATCAAATGGACACAGGAAGTGGCCTCAAGGGGCTCCCACTGGCCAAATCTAATGTAGTAATGGATTATAACCGATGGGTAAAAAATAACAATACATGATCCACAGTGCCATAAATGAATGAGAAACAAAGGGCTACCTTAGAATGACAACTAATGTAGAGGGAATGAGGTAGTTAGGAAATCCCTCTTTTGCAATATCAGGTTCTGATAGCCTTACGTAAGTCAAAAACTGCTGAATGAAATTAAATTAGAATGTTCTTAAAGTTTTAAAGAATCTCAAATTTATCCATATTCTCATTTTAAGTTAGAAAAATTAACAAGTATTCAAAATAGCAAAAGAAATAAAGACATATATTAAAATTTATACTTAAACACATTAATTACCTATTCTAATACTGGAAGTTAAACCTATAATCAAATGTCCACTGAAACACATATGAAACTTTTACCTGGGCACAACAAATGAAAGCAATCGAAAGTGTCAGCAAGAAGACTGAAGATACAACCACATCGACTGAGCGCTGTGGGCCCCGTCTCTGCAGAGACACAGATGTCAGTGTTCTAGGTTACAGTCAGGGACAGCAACAGCCCTCACAGCATTAAACTCTGAATATCACTACCATAATGTAAAAATAAATGTTTACAAGTTTCTGACACAGAATTTTAATATATTTCAGATACTATCAACTTGCAGCACTGAAATCCATGCCCTTCCAAATTGAGAAGTTGACTTATTATACATTTCCAGCTACATTTCTAAAAGTCAAAAGATATAACACTTATCACTCTGCCTTACAAATTTAAATTTTCTCTTTCTAAACTTTCTAAACTTTCCCTACCAATTGTGCAGATACACCACATCCAATGTGGTGCCTAGAAGTTGGTCAGCCACTGATGTAATCTGCAATGCCCGGAACCACCCTGCCCAGTGGGTAGATGGTGCTACAAACTTTAACGAGTATACTCTACATACTCTTACATACATCCTATAGCCAATCAAATAAAACTCACCTTTAGGTAGGAACGCAGTGATAGCCAAATTTTAATATTCTCTACTTTTTTAAGTCTGAAATGAGGTATTTCATATTTCTTTGCTTTTCTGGCAGAAGTAATATGACTGAAGAGTTTTGCAAATAAAAATCTCTAGAGGAAGTTAAAAAATCACAAAGAGAAAAGTACATATTGGTCTTCGTATTCATACAAGTATCAACAATATCCCCCGGATTTTCTAAATGTTAAAAAGAATGAAACTCTTATCAGTAATCACTAAGGACAGTGAAAAAAACTTAACATCTCATTATCCAGTTGCTTCCAAAGCACATGATATGGTATTATACTTCTTCACAAAACGGTACACTCTTGACATGTGTAAGGAATACCCTTTGGATACTTTTTGTGAATCCTCAACTGTACAAACTCAAATGTTTATACATGGTTCTTCTGGCTTACTTTCCAATTATTTTTCCATATAAAATCACATTTCTTATGCATATCACCAATATAAATACATTCAGTCAGCAATCTAGAACTCATCAAATTTCAGTAAATTTCTCACTTGACTATCCCCCCGACCCATCTCACTAAGTCATTTATTTGCCCAAGTTGTGCTCAAATTTGTGACCCTTCTTCTGCCTCAGCCTCCCAGGGTTAGCCCTTTTGCTTTCACAAAAATATTACCACTGAGGACTGCTACATACAATACAAATATAAAACAATAAAGCCACACTGAGGTGCACATACTGAGCGTTAGCTACCTAAACCACTTATTTCCATACACAGGGTTCAGCAGAATTTTAGATTACAACATGTAACTTGTAAACAGTCAATAACACAAATGTTAAACCCTCAGACACCCAAATCAAGGGAACAAAAGCAACTCAATGAGATAGCATACAAAAAAGAAATTTTACTTCTATGTCCACTGACCTGTTTATACGTTCTCTCTGCCACACACATCATAAAAAAAAACATCCAAGTAAGACACAATCTCTCAAAAAAATTAATTATAGACAAAATAATAATGGGTGTAACAGGTGGGGCCCCACAAAAGAGAGTCAAGATCTCCTCAGCAGAGATGGACTTTAGTTGGTCAAAGCTCTTCTCCCGGAACAGTCGATGCAAAAAAGGAAAAAATGCTAATCCGATGGTGACGACATTTCCCAGCATCTGATAACCTACTCCTTGCTGATACGCATTGACCTGGGAATTAATGTAAAATTTCCAGCATTACTGCATCACAAAATGAAGATATGAGAAGCTCTTATCAAATGCTATTTAAAAATATTAAAAAACACATTTTAAATGAAGTACAAATAAAAATGACATGCAAATGTGAGCTGAGGATATAGGTCAGTGGTAAACCATGTCCTTAGCATGCACAGGGTCCTCAGTTCCCAACACGAAGGGAAGAAAAAATACCTACAGATTTATGACTTATTACAGATCATGCCCAACTGAGACAAGGAATATTTATACCTGAACAAGATCACACTAACAGAGACTGTATGCAGCAAATTTTTTTTAAAAAAACGAAGGCTGTAGCTACAGAATTTAACATGTATATCTGTGGTTCAAAAGCTGAGTCTAGGAATGTAGCTCAATGGTAACAATGCTTGCTTAGCACACACAAGGCCCTGAATTTGATGCCTGGCACCGGAAAAACAGAAAAGCACGGTCAATACTGTTCTAATCACCGAGCAGAGTGTTATATAAAAACTCCTGATCGTTCGGTAGATTCCTTTTCAAATCCGGAACTTCTTAGATATCTTACCCTGCTCATGATGATACCACTTATTTCCAACACAGACATGTCCATCTTTTTGCATTCATTTCCTTCCCAGATTATTGCACTAACTCGATCAGAGGCAGGACTTGAGTTCTGAAGCCAGAATAAATGGTTCTGGAGAGAAAAATAAATACAAAGCTGTTTGATCCACTCCTTCCTTCCTCCACTAGTTTTCCCTTCTCTTTAGTCCAGCTCCCAGGCGGTATTAGTCAGTGCTCAGTCTCATCAGTCTATTCTTTCTCTCTCGTCCCTGATTCTCAGCCCTTTCTTCTTTATGGAGTCATTTTCTTACCTAGAGAGGCTGAATGTCTTCTATAATGAGGAGTGGCAGGATTCCATGATGTCTGAAGTTGCTTACCTCTCTAAGGCCATGGAAGCAAGAATAAAATTAATATATTCACAGGCTACTAAGGAAGAAAAAGTATCTCTGGAGCAACGAGATTTCACTGGGAGTATAGAAACCCCCGACTTATTAACACTCAAGGTGTGAACTTTCACAGATACCAATGACCTTACATTATGAACACCCACAGATGGGAACAAATCGCGGAAGTAACTCCCGTGGTCTGCCGGACACTGTCACAGCTGTGCTGCCGTGTGCTTACTGCAAGTGCGCCAGTGTAGAGCAGTACAGTGCTCAGGCAGAGCCCACGATGACGAGAAGCAGGAGGAAAGCTGTGGTGATGTGGAGGGGACTGCTAGGAAGCGCAAAGCAATATACACTGTATATTTGTGTCAGAGATGTGAGGCAGGACTTGAGTTGCGAAGCCAGAATAAATGGTTCTGGAGAGAAAAATAAATACAAAGCTGTTTCGTTCACTCCTTCCTTCCTCCATTAGTTCCTCCACTCACTTTGTTGAACTTATGAACTAATCTGACTTATCATCGTTCTCCCAGGATGGAACGCGTTCCTAAATTGAGGGCTTCATGTAGCAGGAAATAAGTGGGAGAGGTGCAGAGGCCGGACAGACCACGTGCATGAGGAGCTAAATCTTTCTCCAGTCTAGGGGGCACAGAAAACCCGATGCTCAAGCTCAAGAGGCCCCAGTGAAAGCGGCCCCAACCTCCTCTGCCAGAGCGCGTCCTATTCGTCAAGCGCCAGCAAGTGCCGTTTCCCAGACACGGTCCTCTCAGCTGCCACGTACCTCACAAAGTTTGCCCTTCTCTGAAATTAAAAACCCTGTATCAGACAAATTAGCATCTAATTATATGGTGCATTTGTTGCGTCTTCTATTTCCTATATAATCATTGTTAAAATGTAAGTTTCTAGAAAAGGACCATGTGGTATATTTCTTCTCTTCCCACAGTATTCATCATAATGCTCATGAACATTTATTGATCTCGTTCACGGATTTATCTAACCAATATTTATGAAGCACCTACCATGTAACATATAACACGTGACATGTTACTACATAACATGCACTGCAGATACAATGGATAACAAGATATATGTCCTTGTTATCGAGGAGTTTAGACATAATTAAATAAAATTCCTTTCCTTACATGGTAAGGAAAGGAAGAGTGCATTAGGTGTCTACAGGATAAGTTTCTTAAAGAAGTAAATCACTCCAGCAAAAGCCTGCCTTAAATATAAAAAGAAGTGAGCCAAGGGATGGATATTAGGAAAAAGTATGTCCCAGGCAAAGAAACCAGTACATGTAAAGGACCAGAGGCACATGAGACATAAAAATAAAAAAGGAAGAAAGGAAAGAGAGAAGGAAGGAACTGCGGGTTCAGCTGAGTTAAAATGGTCAGATGTGTGATTCTATTACAGCAAATAAAGCCCCAGAAGCAAATAACCCAAAGAAAGAGAAAGAGATTTTAAGGACAATGGCATTATCAGATTGATGGAAATATCACTGGCTGTAATGAGAAAAATGAAAGGAAAACGGGAGAGGCCAGAGCAGCTGCTCTAACCATCCGGACGCGGCTGATGAGGGACAGTGGAGGCCAGCGTCACACGAAGTGGACAGTGGAGACCATGGAGGTGGCCACACCACTGACAACGGACAGAGCAGAAACACAACAGCAGGCTGGGGCTTGGGGAGAGCTGGGAAATGGTGAGTTCGACTTGCCATGTGAGTACACCTTCCCCAATTATTCTTAGATCTGTCTTACAAGCGTACGATAAATCTCAGAAGTACAAGGAGCTCACGATCGCTGCTATGCTATGCACAGCTACTAAGGGCCTTCATCATTTTGAAGACGCTTCAGGCTGAATATGAAGAATATTCAAATTCAAACTCTGATAGTAAAATTGGAGAAAGCATAATACTTTAATGAGAAAATGTAAGGTGTTTCTGCTTAGTTTCTAAAAAGTCATACAGATTTAATGAAATGGGATTTTCCCCCATAGAATGTGTAATTTAATTGTAAGCTTAGAATCAAGACAATGCAATAATTAAACAAATGTATATCTATCATTATTATTTACAAGGCAGTATAAACATATTTAAGCTAAAAAGCAAAGAAAGAAAGAAGAACCATGACCACTGCCATCAGACATCTACAAACGCTGACAGCGTGAACCGTTCCCTGATCATCCAGGCTGTCCAGCGGCGGCATGAGCTGTCTCAGGACACGACAAGCACACAGCCCCACGAGCCCTCCAGCCACAGCGGAGACTGACTGCTCAGCTAATGGGGTAACCGAGACTAACAGCACTATGCCAGCCACTTAACATGACCTCAGCTATTTCACAGTATTCCTCACAAGTAAGAACTACTATTACCATGTGACAGATGGTAAATTTTACAGCTACAGAACGAATGCCTAAATTGGTTTTGAAGGCTAAAATACCTTCAATAGACTCTCCAATTCTAGACTATCTGATTTTATATTAATATGAAACCTAAAATTAAAACCACCACTTGATTTGTAGATTACTAGAGAAGCAATGTCATCTTCTAGTAATTTAGATATAATACTACAATGTCTGTGAATATATAAGGTAGATGTACCAATCAAACAAACCTGCTCATACAAAATAAACATTAAAGCTCACTCTCACAGCTGCGTATGGTGAACATGCCTATAATTCCAGCACTCTGGGAGCCCCAGGCAGGAGGGTCCAAGTTCAAGCCCATCCTGTGCAATTCAGTGATTCAGCAAGACCCTGTCTAAAATAAAAAAATTAAAAATGGGCTAAGGATGTAGCTCAGTGCCAAGGCCCCGAGTTCAATCCCCATTACCGAGGAAAGAAATCATTCTCATTAGTTTCAACAGGAAAAAGTATTCAGAAGAAAAAATTAGGTCAGGCCAACTGCATGGTATTCCTGAGTTCTCATCCCAACATCTTCACTTTCAAGCTATGCTCAATTTTCCATCTCTAAATTAGGAAAAACGGTATTTCTATAGGATTTCTGCGAAGTTAAGTAAATGAGATAATACAATGCCTGACATGAGTATATAATAAATATTAGCCATTCTGACCATTTCCTTCACAGACCTGCTGAAAAACGTCTTCTTTGGGGTCACGTTTGGTCCCTGAGTGCAGGGTGTTCACACGGGTCCCCTCGCTGTCGCTGGTGACAGAGGACCGGCACTCGGGGCCGTGCAGCAGGTCATCCCACAGCATATCCTCAGTCTCTGAGTCATGGCGGGTGCTTTCTGAGTCTCTTCTTGACAGGTTGAGGCTTCGAGAGCCACCACTCGTGCCAGATCTAGAGCCCTTTAAAGGAAAATCTTAAGAAATTGCTTTTCATTCATCTTTAATTATATATCTGAAATAAAATTAAAACAAGTTATCTATAGCAATAACTAGCAAAAGTTTCACAAGCTGATCACCATGTTGTCATTTACTCACAGGTTTCGTATAATCATACATTTTAATATTAAATGTTAAACTCTGATGATCCTAGCAAGCAAGATTTTAAAATTATTCCCTCTAGGATTATTCAATTCAGCGTTCTGGGACGGGAGCGATTCCAGCAAGCACACCCAGAGCACTCACTCAGTTAGCTTGGCTGAGCCTTCTGAAACACAGTACCCCCTACTTAAATACTGTGACCCTGGCTGTGAGCTAGAGCTGACCAAGGCCCGGCAGCACCGTGTTAAAGGACAGTCAGCAATCGGAAGCACAGGCAGTGCAGTTCCCCTGCACGCAGACGTAAACACGGAAGTTCTTCCATGACTCCAGCTGCCTTGTCAATCAAAACTCAACTAAAACCACGTCACCATCCACTCTGCTCACGTCTGAATGACCTCATTTCAAATATGCTCCTTAGCTTAAGAAGAGATTTTGTTACTGCTCCCACCATTCAGAGGTCCCCTCTCAGCAGTATCAACCCCGCTTAGGGTACTTAGGCTCCATACTCCAAGAGACTGGTAAGTAACCACATCACCTCTGAGCATCACCTATAATACTTTTATGATTAAAGTAAAACTACAAAAGAATTCGTCCTTTTTCTAGGCATAAGAAGTCATCTAAAAGAGGCTAAATAAGTAGGCAGATAAATGGAGATAAGGGAAGTGCAGGCCTAGATTAGGGCAACTGCTAAGAAAAAGGAACGGATGAAATTATTACACTCAACAACACATGATGAACACTGATCTCTCGAAAGGAGTCTTTACCTGGCTGAAGGCTGCTGACTCAAATTCCGATTCAGCCACACTATCTGAATCCCGTACGATATGACTCCACTTTGTAGTGGTCTTCTTTACCTGTGAAAAAATCAAACCACGAAAGAACAGGAGGACATGTTAAATACCTTGTTACTACTGAATAATCTTTTTATTTTTTAAATTTTTTTTTACTATTGAATAATTTAAACGATCTAAGTCGAATCATTGAATGATTTATCTTTTAGAAACTAAAACAAAAACTACCTGAGAGTTTAGGTGCCTTGAAAGTATCGATTTTCTGTTCTTCACTTCACAGCTGTTGTCACTTGAGGCCCCTTCCACACTCCTTCGCAACAGTATCATCTGTGTCCGGGCCTCGCCATCCTCCTCACTGGACAGGTCATCTGAAACCCCATTACCCAAACGCCTGTAAGCCTCCTACAAAGAAAACAGCAACACCTTCACAGGGACACCTCACAGTACTCTAGCGAACGGCGTATGTATACCTGAAAAGCTCAAGTGAAAGCTACCAAGCAGTAGAAGTAAACTAAATCAAAACTAAACAAACCTGTATGTTACTTGATCTCGATATTAAGAGAAATTTCAAAATTAAGAAAAATAAGAATTTGAAGCTGAAACAGGCTCAAGTCAAACTCTAGGCCTAAATCACAACTCTTCTACTTTCCAGCTATGTAACTTTAAGAAATTTACTAAATCTCTTTGGGACTCAGTTCCCCCCTATGAAAAGTAATGACAATAAAAACACCTGTTCCACAAGGTTGTGGAAGAAGGAAGTTTGTAGCGTAAAGCACTTAGAACAATACTCAATAAACATTAGTAGAAGTAACGGCTTAATGAACACTAAAGAGACCACAGTCTAACAAATAAGACAGTTCAAGAGTGTGAAGTACAAGTTAGTTTGAGACGCAGAACAGAGCATCTCCACCTAAACTTAAAAACCGTTTCCCAGCCCCCTGCGACACTACTGCCCCCTCTCTGGAATGAGACACAGTGGCCTCTACACGAATGTGTTCACAGGCTAGGGAGACTGAATCAACAGCAGAGTAACAAGTTTTAGTCATAGGTATTTTATGAATAAGCTCCAGTCTCCAGATATTTTCTTTTTATAACCTGTGGTTTTACTTACTTATTAGGACAAACTTACATCACATTAGTATCTGTTTTGTATCTCTAAGAACAGAAAAATTTTACATATGAAACAAAAGATTTTGTTATATTCCTCAGATCTTACCCTACGACACTTTTCTCCATCCGAAAATTTCGCTTTCTCTCTTGTTTGCCACATTCTAAAATCTGGTCGACAGGGCCTCTTCTTCATGATAGGATGGAGACAACTTGACTCATTGTCAGTTTCAGTCCCTTTGTTAGATAGTAACTTTACCTTTTTAATCCTATTTTCAAAAAAACCAGAAAAGGTTACTAAATACTTTTCTGAGAATAACATCCTTCATGAAATCACTTTCTTCTGAGGAGTACAATCTATTGTTCTGGATATCAAGAAAAGTCAGAAATTATATTTTGTAGGCCTCTAGCTTGCTAAGGGAAATCAGAGGCAGAGAGTAATCAAAGAGACTCACAGAAAAGTGAATCTATTCATGTCAACTGAGAAGCAGCGTGTACTTCCTAGTTTTGTAAGAAAACAGACTAACAGCCCTATCCACTTCTCTCTCAAACTCAGTGGCAAGTCCTCCTTCGTGGTGCCCGTCAACGGCACGTGACAGATGTCTGCCTCGCTTCCGTCCGTTCCCCCGAACAACGGCCAGGCCGTGAAGCCAGCGCCTCTCAACTCCTCTATCGTGGCTGCCAACTGCCTCCCCACGGGCTACAGCTCCATTTGCTGAACGACATGGCCATGGAACCCTTCATAACACCTTTCACACCTGCTGCCCGCACCTTCCTGACCACACAGTAAGATCGTTTGGGACAGCGGCTTACCATGCCCAGCACACAGAACTTCAACACTTCAACCAAAAGGTATGAGCTTATCTCTGGAAAAACAAGTAAGCATACTTCCTCCTCAAAAAAGTAACTGCAAAAAATTTTTACTTTTAAGTTGCCATCATTAATACGAACAAAATAAGCATCTGAGTCATATTAGTGCTGCCAAAACCTGTAAAGCTACAAATGAGGTCAAATCTTTCCTTGAGCCATTTGCCTTTCTGCCCAGGAGCCCATCAATTCCAGACCCCTGTGCTGCACCCCCTTACTAAACAGGCACTGGTGCTCATATCCCTGACCTTTTTAAAATTCTTCTTTCTATCAAGATGTTAGCTGGTAAGGCTTAAAATATTTACGTTTCAGAGTATTTATGTTCTTGTAATCTTGGATCTAAAAACCATTAAAATCAAACAGAATGAAACTTTAATGGTTGATTACTAGATTTATAGGTAACATGAAAGAGGAACATTTGGAGTAAGCAAACCTTTCAAGAACCCTTAAAAGTCACTACACAGTCATAGCATGCCTATACTACTACTTCCTCCTGGGGCCCAATCAGATTGTATAAATGCTTATAAATGCTAACGTGGATACAAAATCAAGTAAATATTCCAACGTAAAATTCCCACCTGTTGCCAAAGAGAGTCCCCCAAAAACCACCAATAATGGGTTCAGATTCCAAAGTTTCTACTCCTCTGATTTTATCAGAGGAGTTATTACTTCCATTTTCTCGGATCCCATCACCATTTACAGTTTTTCGTAATTTTCTACAAAAAAATTCATAAACTTCAGATTATTTAAGACCTCTTCTGTTTTGCCCATAATATCCCTGCAGAAAATTACACCAACAGATTATTCCCTGTAATCAAGGAGAGTTAACTTCATATACTGGGGATAAACAATAGAAGAAAATTTCTGAATTTGGGACACAAATAGATTCTAAACGGAAGTCCTATGCCAGCATTTTATTCAGTCACTAAAAAAACAGGATTTCTATCCAGAAACATACTAGAAAAAATGTTCACTTGTGTGACCAAAACTCTTTTCAGACACACTCCACACCACTAGCAGAAGCCATTTACTTAACTACAGATATTAGAAATCTACCCCTTTGGCACATTTAATCAGGGCAATACAAAAATAAAAGCAACTCATCATTTTTTACTGATATCCTATGCAGTTAAATGCTGTATCTCAAAAATATCAATGTAACCCTGCACAGCACTTATTTCCTCAGAAAATACTAATCAGTTTAATTGGATCTACAAGGAACCTTCTCTTCAGAAAATTATTTTGAAAACTGGGGCCAGGGTATAGCTCAGTGGTACAGCATTTGCCTTGAAGACATAAGCCCTGGGTTCAATCCCAGCACCACAAAAAGAGAGTATGTTGAAATTCATTGCACCAATGAAAAAATTTTATTTGGTTATTAGTTAGGGAACCAAAATTAGATATTCTGAAAAAATATAACTTTTAGAAGATAATACTGAATAGTTCAAAAACAAGAAATATCAAATAGTAAAAACTTCACGTGAATTTAATTTGTGAAAGAGTCAAATTGATCTTGAGTAAAAGTTTAGACCACTTATATATCAATTACACACTTTTGGAAAAAGGTAAAATTTTGGTAGAACTAATCCAATGTACCAAGATCCTTGTGGATACAGAATTGTCAACTTCATTCGAGTAAGCCTGAATTTCAAAGAAAAAACATTTTTTGGCAGTGCTGGGATGGAAACCAGGACCTCACACATGCTAGAAAGTGCTTTACCACTGACCTACACCTCCAACCCAAGAATGCGTCTTATGATAAATTTTAAAGAATAATATAGTATAGGAATTTCCTTTTGAAGCAACTGTACTGAATGACAAAATTTCACCTGAGATTAGAAGTTAATAAGGTTTTCAGTGAAAGAAAAAAAGCATTTTAGGTAAAAACAAAAAATGAAGAATATACATGGAAGAGGAAGATTTTAAATTAACCAAAGATTTTATAAATCTCTTTAAATACCACTTCCAGAAAACACAAAACCAAGATGCAATTTCTCACTGTACCTCCTCCTCCGACTGCCATTGTTTCCCGATGGCCTTGTGATCTGAGTAGACACAATCTGACAGTGCACAGTCCCCATGAGGAGCATAAGGCACAAGGGTCCAAGTACTTCACTGACGTTCACGAGAGGCATCATAAGATACAACACGATCGCTATAACTGGAAAGAAGAGATTTTAAAATATAAAGCATTACACCTCCTCCTAAAAATTAATTCTAGTAACTACAAATTTCTACAACCTGTCATTTTAAAAAGAATTTAAAATAAATCATTTCCTAGAATAACATCCACTTGCATGTTAGCTGAGTAAAAGTCTGCAGCCACCGACTGCTAAGTAAGTGAAGGATAACATATTCAAAGTACTTGCCTCTCTGGCAGCCTGATGATCTAAATATTACTGAAGGGTTCCCATCACAAAACTGCTGCAGAAGCTGCCTAAGACATGTTCAGAAGAGCTGTTCCTGTCAGAGGAAGGGTATTTTCCAAACCCCAAAGTTCAAATGAAGCAACAAGCAAAGCTGGGATTTGAGCCCAGGCCTTCAGGCTCCAGCAGACTCATCTTAAGTAGCATGGTACATTGCTGCTTTGCATATGTTTATGAAACGTTCAAGTAAACAAATGATGCAAGACATGAAAACTATCAGAAACAATCTTCAAAACTTTCTATTTGTAATTATATAGATATGTTCTTTCAACTTTAACACAGTAGTAATTCCTGAACTGTATAAACTATTCCTGAATAGAGAAAAAGAAATCTAGCACTAACCCAACATACCAAGATCCTTGTTGGTAGTGAATTTTCAACCAATTTTGATTAAGGCTGAATTTCAAAGAGAAGGCTCTTCCCTTCCTTCCTTCCTTCCTTCCTTCCTTCCTTCTTTTTCTCAGTACTGAGGACCAAACCCAGGATGCCAACATAACCACGAAACCCCAAGAAATGGCAGCACCAGAACAAATAAACTACACCAACTTAGTTGATTTGCGAATATGGATATACATTCATCACTAAAAATGTAAGCTCTATGAAGGCAGGGAATTTTGGCTGTTTTGTTCACTGATAAGCCTACATCAGCACTTGACACACTAAGCACTCAGTTGAATGAGTGGTTGAAATACAGTCTTGACAAAATGAGTTTGACAGTATAGCAAAAGAACTCACTAAGAACGTAAGGGTTTATACTAGAAATACAAGAATACTTTAAAGCGGAAAATCTATCCAAATCATCCCAGAAAGTGACTGGGCTCTGCGCACATGAACCAGATGAGTGTCCTTATAAAACAATGTCCCTTAGGCCAGGCGCCGACATAGCGAGGAAACTGCCATCTACACAAGCAGATCCTCACCAGATACTAACTGCCAGTGCCTTGATCTTGGACTTTCCAGTCTCCAGAAGTGTGAGAAATAAATTTTGATTATTAGCCACCATGCCCGTGGCGTTTTTGTTATAACCTCCCAAACAGACTAAGACAGAGACTGATACAGAAAAATGGAAGAAGTTGCTCTAACACAGATCTAAAAGTACAAAAGCAGCCACAGAACTAAGTAATGAATGGACAGTCTAACAGAAGAGTTTTGAGGAGCAGGTCAGAAAGCCTAGATCTGCAGAACACGTTGCTAAAGGAGATGCTTAGGGATCAGAAGGAAAAATAGGTGAGTTATAAAGAAAGCTTCATGCCTATAATCCCACTTCCTTGAAAGGACCATAAGTTCAAGGCCAACCTGGGCAAGACTCTTTCTCACAATAAAAAATAAACAGGGATGGAGATATAACTCAATGCAAGGCCCTGAGTTTACCATAAAAAAAAAACCTTAAAAAGCCAGATACGGTGGCGCACATCTGTAATCCCAGCCACTTTAGAGGCTGGGGCAGCAGGATAGCAAGTTCAAGCTCAACCTGGGCAAGCAACTTAGTAACTTAGTGGGAACTGTCTCAAAATAAAAAATAAGAAGAGCTGGGAGGTAGCTCAGTAGAGCTGGGAGGTGGCTCTAGGTTCAATTCACAGTTCCATAAAAAAATGAAGTAAGAGGGTAGGGGAAAAGAGAACAAAGAGGAGGTGGAGGAGGAGGACAGAATGGAGGAAGAGGAGGAGAGAGAGGGGGAAGAGGAAGAGAGAGAGGAAGAAAAGGAGGAGGAAGAAGAAGAAGAAGAGGACAGAGAGGAGGAAGAGGAGAGAGAGACAGAAGAGGAGGGAGAAGGAGGAGGCAGAGGAGGAAGAAAAGAAAAAGCTTCAGTCTTTTTAGAAATATGGGTAAAGGCTACTCTGGTGAAGTCTCAGACAGAAATGAGAAATAATGTTATTGGAAACGAGAGGAGAAGTTACAGAGTGACAAAGAACTTGGCTGAATTGTGTCTAGTGTTTTGTGGAAGACAGAATCATCCAGACCTTTGATCTTAGACTTCCCAGCCTCCACGACTATGAGAAACAAATCTGTGTTGTTCATAGAACAGCCAGTCTATGATATTTTTGTTACAGCAGCTTGAACATACTAAAACAGAAAGTGATGTAAATTATGATGTCCTTATATAATAGAATATTAAGCAGCTAGAAAAAGTGTTCATGGTAAATTCACATGATAGACTGACTCCCAGACAGACTCCCAAAATGAGAGTTCTAAATAATGGTCTGCCCATATGGTGGACTGTTCTACAGGCATTGAAGTGAGTTATGAGGACAAAACATAATCAAAAATTCAGCAGCTGCTGTACTGGGCAACATAAGCACAAAACACTTCCATCATTACAGAACTTCCACTACACAGAGCTATCACAAGTTTTAAAAGTTTAAACTTATGGAATTCATACATGTATTTTTCTCTCTGCAGCTTAAGGTTTTTTTAAAACAAGATAAAGAAAAACACAATCACCCTTAAGTCTTTCACCTTACACCAACCTCTTTGTTTTAATTCGTATCTTTGGGGGCGGGTAGCTGCAATACACACTCCCCACTCTGGCAGTGTCTCTGTCAGGCAACAGAGACGCAGTGGGAAGGAAATACACCGGGCCCCTGCGCACAGCGAGAAGAGAAAGCAGCACACCAGGCAGATGTGCAGTGCTGACAGCGACACTGCTCGTGCACCAGTGAGTGAAGTACAGACAGGGATGGCCTATCAAAGCGACGTCTGCGCTGAGGTCTTCAATTTGAGGAAAAACAAGCTACTTGAAAATCCTTAAGAATGTTTTGAAAAGAAAGAAAAACTCTGTATGTAAAATCTAAAGAAAAGCATTATCCCTAGAGCGAGAATGGCAGTGGAAGGCCAAGAAATGGTACGAGATGATTCTGAGAGGAAGCAGGGCGCAGATGATGTGGGGGGCATTACAAGCCACAGGGAGGACTTCAGGTGTCCATCCTAAAGTCACCTGAAATGAAAAGCTTTTAGGTAGAAAAATCACACAATAAAGTTCCCACTTTAAAAGGTTTCTCTAATTGTTGCGAGGAAAACAGTGGGCAGAAAGAAGGCTGAGTGGACATTACGTCAGTGCCCTGGGCTGGAGATACGAGTTCTCCGGACTGCGCTGGAGGCAGCAGAGACTGACGGAGAGTCAGGGTAGGGTCTGGAAGCCCAACTTAGACAGAATGGCAGACTGGGTGTGAGAACTATGGTTGCATAAAGCCAGAAGACTTATTTTTCACTTGAAAATGGATGCTGGATGAAATCATGTAAGGAAATGGAAAAGATCTAAGAGAAACAAATTGTACAAAAAAAATCAAGATACGATTACGGTGACTTTTGATATGATTAAGTTCAGGATACTTACTAAGTCCCATGTGGGAATGTCAAGCAACAGTTAGACTTATCAGCCCAAAGCGCAGTAGAGAATCTGACCTGAAGGTACAAAATTTGGGAAGTACCAACAACTGTCAGTTGTATTTTTTAAATGGGGCTTGCTAAGAGTACTTAAAGCACACACGAGAACCCAGGATCCAATCTGGAAGTAATTCAACATGCAAAGGTCAGATAGAAGACCAAACTGACTAAACGAGCCCATGAGAAAGACGGAAAGAAACCAGCGGGAGTCAGAGGATTGTAACAGTGTACACCCCTTCACTTCTTCGTACTGTACTTTCAATCATTAAATGAAAGGGAAATTTAAGAATAGATCTTCATGATCTGAAAACAAAAGCAGCAAAATGAAACTGTCACACTTCATTCCAGCTCTTCCAGTTACCTTGCATGAGGTAAAGCAGTAGCAGCCAGACAAAGATTCTCACAGAGGTAACCTGGATCCACCAGCTGCTGAACAATGGAAAAAACACAACTCGAACGAGCCCCTTCCGAGTCAGAGATGTCCACGGAATTTCAGGTTTGGCTTTGGCAAATGTTGAGCCTTTAAATGCAAGAAAACAAAGTAAGGCACCCGTGCATGCACTGTATTGTGGCCACTCGCAGGACCTTAGAAACAGGAGAGAACAAAACCGAGCGCATGACTTGTGCAGTTAAAAAGGACCCTCCTGGGCCGGGGAGATAGCTCAGCGGCACAGCACTTGCCTGGCAAGCATGAAGTCGTGAGTTTGAGTTTGATTCCCAGTTTTAAAAAAAACCTCTTAAATGGACATTAAACATAGTAACTTCTTGTCTCAGTCCCTAGGACAGGAGCTCAAAATATGTCAGGCTCACAATGTATTTTTCTAAATTATACAAGTCTCCAAGTTCATCTCCCTTTCTCATTATATAAAAACCATGTAACTTACATAACCACACAATACTAAGTCGAAGAGTAAAGGTCCAAAGCTTGAATAATAAAGGAAAATTTTACTAAGTACACCATCACATGGGGAAGATACCTAAAAGTAATCTGCAGTACCACTACGAAATAATATTACAATATGCGTAAGAAACAAATCAGTTTTAGAACTCACCTCTGATTAAGTCAACATCAATCAAGTCTGGCTTTATATGACCCATCTTTTTTGGTTTGTTTTTGAAGCCCTAGAATAAAACAAAATAGAAATAATCATATAAAAAACAATCCTTTTGGAGGCTGAGGCAGGAGAATCCCCATCAGTTTGAGGCCCACCTGGGCTACACAAAGTGAGTTCAAGGCCAGTCTGAACTGCATAGTGAAACCTTGTCTCAAGAAGGAAAAAAAAATCCTTTTAAATATAAAAAATAAACATATGTTTCTTTTCCTTTTGTCTGACTTTTTATTAGAGGCATTTTTATCCTAATGTTCCTTAAAAAACTTGTCATTAATTTGTTCCAGTTTTGGGCTTATCAAATAATACATGGATATGCTTTGTCATTTTTTAAAATAATCAAATAATGTCAAAGGATCAATAAATGGAAAATAATTGTCCTCTGAGCCACACCCCCTCCTCTCAATTTTGTTCTTCAAAAACAAATTTCACCTTGTTTTTAGTGGTTTCTTTGTATTTTACTGCTATACTTCGAAATAATATGCTTATACTATTATTTAATTTATTGATTCATCAGTATCAATTCTTCTACTAATTTCTTCATACAGTGAGAACATAGCTTTTAGACCACTAACATCCATATCCTAGGTTCTACGTGTGTGTATGTGTGTGTGTGTGTGTGTGTGTGTGTGTGTTTAAAAATGCAACACTGGGGGCTGGGGAATTAGCTCAGTGGCACAGCGCCTGCCTCGCAAGCGCAAGGTCATGAGTTCAATTCCTGGTACTAGAGGAAAAAGAAAAACAATAAATAAATAAAATGCAACACTGGGTCTGAACCCAGTGCCTTCACACTGAGCGACATTTCCACAGCATTTCTTTTTCACTTTTTATTTTGAGACAGGGTCGTGCTAAGTCATTACATTGCCCAGACTATGCTTGAACTTGGTGATACTGATGCCTCCGTCTCACAGAGTGCTGGGATTACAGATGCCCACCACCACTAAATAATGTGTATAAAATGTTTACGTAATATGTACAAGAGCTCCAAATTAGCTGGACCTGGCATACATACCCCAACCTGTAATCCCAGAACTCTAGGGGGCCGAGGCAGCAGAACTCCCAAGTTTGAGGCCAACCTGTGCAACTTAGTGAACTTAGCAAGACTCTGTTTCTAAATTAAATAATTAGTTAATTACTTTTTAAAGAGCTAGGGACGTAGCTCAGTGTAAAGCCCCCTGGTTACCACCCAAAAAAAGACAGAAAGACAAAGAAACAGTGCCTCAATTTGGAAATATCCATCAATAATAACCTGAAATCCCCCATTACCAGCAGAATGGGCAAATAATTGTGACATTGTACTGAATAAACTATATCACATGCAACTCACAAATCTCACAAACATGTTGAACAAAAGGTGTTAGGCTAAAAAAGCAGGTATACTGTATCAGTTCATGTATGTAACCCTCAACTCGGCAAGGCCACTGTGTGCTCACCAGAGGATGTTAGTTACCCCTGGTGTCGGTGACAGGAGAGCGCGGGAGGGAGCGTCCACCCACTGTGCATGTTCAGTCTCTTAATTTGAGTGCTATGACACAGTTGTATTCAGTCTGTGAAAATACCTCAAGCTCTACACTTCCAATCCTGTTGTGTATAAGTATATTCATATTTAATATGTTTTACCTCAACAGCAATTTTTTAAAACTTATTGGATCCTCTGTTTATTGATTTGGGGCCTCAACCATGAAGTCCTCAAGCAGAAATATTGCCATTTCACTGATGGAATCACCAAACATTAATACCCAAATGCAGTTTCCTAGGGTCACTCAAGTTCCTCAAAAGAACGTATTCCTTTAATGTAATTTCAGTGGTAATTTAGAAGTGAGAGATTACAAAAGTATCTGGCTAACCTACAACATTTAACTAGAAATGTAGTCCTTAATACTGTTTCAGAGAATAAGGAAAAAATGTTTTTCAAGCCAGGTGTGGTGGTACACACCTGTAGTCCTAGCACTCGGGAGGCTGAGGCAGGAGGACCACCACACTGAGGCGAGCCTGGGCTACACAGTGAGACCCTGTCTCAAAAAGAAAATAATACGTTTGTCAAGGTCTCAGTCTTCTACCATTCCAAATTAAAGAAGCTATATTCATTTCTCGTAACAGGTAAATGCACAGACTGCCACAGAGTGCGTGTCACTCCCCAGGTTTGCAAAGGCCCTTAAATTGATCATTATTGCTTTAAAGCACTTACTCAATCTTATTATCATGTAGACAATAGTGTTTACTGAAAAAATTCTGCAACTGACAGTCATGACAACCTTGCTACACGTTATGCATTGAGTGTAAATTTATAAAGTTATCATTTGTTTTTGTTTCAAACTCTTGGTTTGCCTAACAGTTAAATTACTATTAATAAACTAAACTTTTGCAAGATGAATCAGCACATGTACATATTAATTCTTAATCTAGTTTTTAAAATTAGCTATTTAAGCATTAAAATTAATGCAAACATTAAAGGATACTGTCATTTGCTATTTCCCTGTTCTAGACATTGCACCAGAATTTATCTTTAGCTGTAACTACACAGATGTAGTCCATCAATTTCTCTCAAGTGAAACCAGTGCTTCTAGTTCAACTCAACTATAGCTACAGATTTTATAGAAAAAGTCCTTAATCTCTAAACTATAATAAAATTAAATGTAAGGTGTCAAATTTTGAAAATAACACAAGAAAAGTTACCATTTGAAGAAACACACACTAATTCTTCAAATATTCATAATTTTCATGGGAATAATGATCTTACGTTCAAAATAAGAAATTCAAAACTTAAAACTGCCAGACATACTGTTGCACACTTAGGAACATGGTCCCAGCACTCAGGAAGCTGAGGCAGGAGGATCTCAAGTTGAAGACCAGCCAGGAAGCCGGGGATATAGCTCAGCAGTACAAGCGCCTGCCTGGCAAGTGCAAGGTCCTGAGTTCGATTCCCAGTACAAAAAAAAAAAAAAAAAGACCAGCCAAGACTACAAAGGGAGACCATATCTCGAAAAAATATATATAAACCAGGCATGGTGGTGCATGCCTGTAATCCCAGTACTCAGAAGGCTGAGGCAGGAGGATCACTGTGAGCTTGAGGCTAGCGCAGCTACATAGCGAGTTCAAGGCCAGCCTGGGTTACACAGCCTGGCCAGCCTGGATTACTCAAAACAACAATAATCAACATAGCCCCGTAGACATGTACATCCATAGTATTCCAACTAAAGGAGCTTCAAGTGCTTTGACTTCAAAACCAAAAAGGTTTTTCTACTCTTTGCTTTCTAGACATTTTACCTATGTTATAAAATTAGGGTTCACATTAACTAGTTTATTCCAAATTCTACAAACCTCCTCTAATGAGGGAAACATTCTCTCAACAAATATTCAACATGCATATTTCACATGTTAGATTTTCTGCTTGAGCTTGGTACAGAGTAATAAAGAAATCAAAACATGGCTCTGTCTTCAATTTCTGTACAGTACTGAGAAAAGACAAGAAGATGTAAGAGAAACTGGTTTCTCAGGAATAAGGCCTAAGCTCCCCTACCGTTTTTTTTTTCCACGGGACAAGAGTCACAAATAAATTTATGGCCATAGTTGTGAGAGAGAAAAAGAAAACCAGAGTGTATTTCTGTGTATTTTATACTGAAGGAGAATAAAAACACATGCCACATCCTTGACTTAGGATCCCTTTGCTTTATCCCTCACATTGCGTAGTTTGCACAAGAAATAGCGCAGGCACTAGAGCACTTTATCTAAAATGTGTCCACCTGTTTGACTCCTTGAGTCCTAACTACCCTGTGAAATTAGTATCTTTATTATCCTCACTTTACAGAGAGAAAACCAAGGCCCAGAGAGATTCCAACCCAATCATTTTCACTCCACAAAGTGTGTGCTCTTAACGACTAGACTATCTTGCCTTTCATATGGTACAAAACATATCCTTCTAGATTAAACAAAACTGCTTGACTTTGCAAGGTTTGTTGGGATTAAACCCTGAGAACTGTGAGTCGACTTCCTCCTTGTCTGCACCTCCACTCGGCAGCCCCGGGAAAGCGGCCAGGGGGGAATTCTGCAGAGCCGCAGCTGTAGGTGCACTCAGCTCTCTCTGCTGTTAGCTCCCCACATAACTGGGCAGCACTACCACAAGCTCAGAAGCACCTGACAAATGAAGTCCCTACTTTAGACAGAGGGACAAAAACACTGCAGGTTTTGCTGGAACAGAGCAACCAAAACGCTGCAGGTATTGCTACAGTACTGTTGGACTCACATTTAACCGGGAGTAAGACAAGTGAAACCCTGTAACACATCTCTATTTCATAGTGTGCTGAAATTTTCTTTTTTTTCCACTGAAAGAGTTAAACTGCTGTACAGTCTGGCACAAAAAGGGAAACCATCTCTAATCTAGGGCAGATGAACAATAAATAATACTTATAAAATAGCACCACAGGAACATGTGTAAGGGCACCCAGTTCTTACAGGGCACCCACTTCTTACATTTAAGAAGTCAAAGAAAGACTTCTAAAGGGAAATAGTATCTAACCTGAAATCTGAAATCTACTTAAGCATTTGCCAAGTTGGGCATGAGATGCAACAAAGGAAGGAATTAAGAAAAGCATATGAGAGAACTCAGAAATAACAGAGATCACAGCCAAAACGAAAAGACAGTTCAACAAGGCCGAAAGCACAGAGTAGAAGTGGAACAGGGTCAAGATATGGGTGAGAGAGATAAACTGGCAAGACAAGGCAATGCCATTCTGTGGAAATTATGAATTATTCTAGCAATACGCTTTTATTTTAAGGATCCTAGGAAGTCAAGAAGTTTTAAATATGAGAAAAATAATCAAATTTGTGTTAAACAAAACAAGAACTTTGACTTCATTGAGGAAAACAGGTGCCAGGACAGGAGTCAGTAAGCAAGAGAAAGGAGTCACCAAGTTAAAAAACCTCCTTCAGCAATCTAGATCAGGAGTGAACAAACTTTCTCTGCAAAGGGCCAGCAGTGTTAGGCTCTGTGGGCTGTGGCATCTCTGACACTGC